GCAGCTTCCCAAGTGTCTTATCCTGCATGAGGTTCAGGAGAGGAGCAGGCAGTGCCGCACCAGGCCCAGGAAGCCAGTAGGCTGTGAAGTTGTCCTGGACACAGCGGGTGACAGCAGAGCAGCCCCTCCAGGCACACGTCTGGGCTCCTGCCCACACCCGCATGGCTCCCATCACCCGGCCACCAGCCAGAGGAAACACCCAGGGCTCATGAGTGACCAGAAGGGTGAGCTCTGGATCAGTACAGGACTGAAGAAGATGAGGCAAGAGACCTGCTGAGAACACGAAGAGAGAGAAAAGAGCAGCAGCACTGACTCACACTGAAGATCAAGGTTAGAAAGAACACTTTCAAACAATCCCACTGGATTGTTGGAAGATGCTGTTTATTAAGAAAATGGTAGACAAACAGGTGCTTTAGTGTTGGTTCCTTTGCATTCTCTATAATACTATACCATTGGCAAAGTCAACTCTGCGGAAGTCTTTTGAATTAAGAGGGCAGAAGTAGAACTTGTGAAGAAGGTCTCGGTTTTAAACGCCCAATACACTTCCTTACCCAAAAGGTTATAAGAGCGTGGAACAAGGTACCCAGCCCTGTTGTTAAAGACTGCATCAGTATCTTTCAGGAAACGGCTGCATGAATCATGTACGATCAAAAAGCCACCGAAGAGTTATCAAAAGGGACCACTGTATGCTTATTTTCGTTAAAATTGCTTTTCTGTTTAAAAAAGCCACATCACATTCACAAAAAGACAAACAGAAGTGACCAAATACCTAAAAACCACTTGCTGTTTTGATTCTTTTACCTTTAGATTATTTTACAGAATTAGATTCTATTCTATTGGTTTTAGACATATGGAGTCGGTGCACAATTTTAAAATGTATTAATAAGCGATGTGCACTAATGCAGGAGGTGTGTAACTTACAGTGTGCAGATGTCCAGCCTTGATCTGAACAACTGACATCAAGATCGTCTTCCCAGGCAGCTCTTATAAAAGATGGAACACCTTACATTCTCCATTTTAGAGCCCGAAACCTTCTCAGAAGGGTCAATGTCCAGTAGAATATCAAATGGGAGATCAGGGGGTAGAGAGAGAGGGGAACTGAAAGATCAAACTCCTTACAAAGTGCCTACACTGTAAATACCTAAAACAAATAGGGATATCTGGGAAAAAAAAGAAAGCTGAACGTGACTCAGTGAAGATATCCCTATTTTTTCCCCACAGTCTGCAACTGTAGAAGGTAGTCTAAAAACAAGGCAGAAAAGCATGATTCATTCTAATTGGTGAAATTGCAGAAAATGACTGGAAATCAAGGCTTCCTAAACTGTGCCCAGGTCCTTAAGATATTGCAAAGGATGGGGTTAGAGGTGCACTGAGTGACTGAGAAAACTAGGGGTGCGCAGATCAGTGCAGGCTCCCATCCATCTATTTTTAATGGTTTACTCCTGGCGAGGGTTGTGGTATTAACAGGATTAGCCGAGCAGACTAGCCTGGCCTTTCCCCAACCAGTGTTCAGGTCCTCCATTGTGTAAAGTTAATTCCAGCATCTATATTTTTACTTTAAAACTTGTAAATACTATTTAACCTCTGCAGTTTGTACAATTCATACCGCACACCCTGAAAGGAATCTGGCATTTTTCTGTTTAAATGGACAAAATGCTGTTGGAAAAAACACCTCAGAGGTTTTCTAATGGATTTATTTACATTACAAAACATTTTAAAAAACTAAAATATAACTGTTACACTGAAGGTCTTTTCAATGGTATAAAACATTTCCCCTCAATTACAGAAAACCAAATATGTCAAATACAGGCAGCATCAAATTCCTGTTACAGATTTTCCTGCCTCCCCCCCCCCACTCTTTCTATATCATGTAATGTACACTCTCAAAATAAAACACTTGCAGCTGATAGACATTTAAAAAATGAATACCAGATTAAACTCGCAGGATTCCAGATATCAAACCTTATACACAAAGCCTTGAGATTTTCTTTAACATAAGTTATCCTTCTCTTTCACTACTTGTCAGGTCTCCTCAGGTACACATGAAAGCAGAGAGACATTCAATATCTCCAGTGTGTTTCCGTTACCACTGAAGAAATGAGCCTCTTCCCATTGATACAGATCCAAGTGTTCTGTTTAGAAAAATATGTTACTCTTTGCACAATTACTGGCATAATGCTCTTTTGATTTGAATGAAGTGGCAGGCATATGTTGGTCAGGTGTGAAATACTAAAGCACTATTATAAACAACCTGAGATTCAGACGTTTTACGCCCTCTTGGTACAATGAATGAAAGACTTTGTCCTTATCTTTTTCTGCACTAAACTCATTCATCAAGTCCCTCATCGTCGTCGTCCTGTTTCTCCTCCACTTCTGTCGTGTCAGAAGATTCATGTAACAGGACATACTCCCTACTGCTAAATCCGAATTTCAGCACATCCTTTTCCTTCAGTTCGTAGTAGCGCTGGGGTTCGATGCGCTGATTGTTCAGATAGGTACCATTTCCCGATCCCAGGTCGATAATGTAGGGTTTGACTCTTCTGCCTGTTGTGCCATCAGAACGGGTAAATTCCACAAGTCTGTTAAATATAAAACCAATATACATACTTAATATTGATTAGATTCAGACAGCACAGGAGCAGTCATCCTTGGCATGTCCCTTTCATGTCATTTTGGGACTTGCAATAAATTAAAGAGGGAATTAAGCCTAAATTAGCACCTCTTGTTTTCCCTCTTTACAGCAGTGAAGAGCAGTACTGATGGCTCTGAATTCCTTACCAGAGGGTTGTCCAGCAGTACTCTTGAACAAGACACTTCACTCAGGTTGCTACAGTAAAATGCAGATCTGTATCAATAGGTGCAAATGCATGTCACTTTGGAAAATAGTTTCAGCCAGATAAGGATTGAAGACTACTTTGATGACTATGGAATAGCTGGAGATAAGACTTGCAATGGGGTGGGACAGCAAGGTTGACTACTATTGGCCCAGTAGGATGACTGATATTAGTAGTCCAGTTCATCTTCAAACCTTAAAAAAAAAACAAAGAGGCTGCTATCCCATCACCTCCTTTCAACCTCACCTTTATGTTCCTTGATTTTTTTACAACGTAATGCAGGACACCCATTTTGAGCAACTGCAGTAACATTTGCTAAAGTCTACTTAGTCTACTAAGAACCACATGTCAATCAGAAACAAAATAATAATAATAATAATAAAACTTAACCTATTGATTTTACATATTGTGTAACAGTAATCTAAACTCAGCAAGCTAACATTTAAAATTGGAGTGACCAAATGTGGAGACAGATAATACTCTGATTTTTAGAACTTAAAGATCTCTTATTTTTTTAATTCTGTAACTAGAGCAGGCAAAAGGGCAAACTAACCCCCACAGAGATTGCAATGAAAAAGGAGCTCACCTGTACTGGAACACTGCATGCTGCTTCGAACAAGAAGGGTGATCGATGGGAATGTCTGCGATCTTTCTTTGTCTGCCTAAGAGATAGGCACTCTGGCGATGAATGTACATGACTGGCAGGGGCTCGTCATTTTTGAAAGGGTAGAGCCGCCACCTTCTCTTTGGAATTCGAGCCTCGGGGGGCTCGTTGTATTTAATCACCACCCCCCGGAACGTATTGGTATCTTCCACCAAGGCTCCGGACAGTTCGAAATTGGGCTGCTCCTTCTGGACGGGGTTGTCATCGTTATTTTCCTCTTGACCGAAGCCCGCGTCCTCCGAGTCCATGCGATCTTCGTCTCTCTGCCGATTCTCCCTCCTCCTTTCTTCGTGGCGCTCCCTTTCGGCCTGCTGCTGCTGGAAAACCTGGGCGTCTCTGTCCCGGCCCCGCTCCCCCATCCTCCTGTCCCGCTCAGGCACCCTGTCTCTGTGTCGGACCCTTCCCGCATCTCTGCCCCGCATGTCGTCAGACGCCTCTGAGCGATCTCTGTGCCTCCGCTCCTCCTTCCCACGGCGGTCATCTCGCTCCTGACAACAACCACAATCCGGGTGATCTCACGTTAATCTCAGAGCCCAAGAAAAAGGCCTATTCCAAAACAAGGCATATGTTTCTATTCCTGTCCCAGGAGAGGAATAACTTTCATTGGACTTCAGAGCAGTGCTTGAATGTAAAACCCTTCAGACACACCTCACTGGTGCAACACTACAGAATCTGATCTGGGGTTCATTAGAAATTTGCTCCTGTTGTATGTGATATATATATTCAAAAATAGCCATTGTGCCCCATTTAGAAATCTCTGCGTAGATTCTAATGCATATGCAGTGATCCCTCCTCAACACTCATCCACAGTAATATCAGAAAGACACTGGGGTTGTACTCAGATTATGAAAACTCTTTGAGAATATTTCAATGCAGAGTGTTACAGAAAGATGCACTTTGTGTGTGTTCGCCAGAAAATGGCCTTTTTCAATGCAAAGCACGTTTTTAACCTTCGCTTACCAGTGCTGTGACTTTTTGCATCCACTAAAACACTTCTATGAAATATTAAATACTGCACTTATCCCATTGCCTCCTATTCTCTCTCTCTGCACCCAGAATCAGAATTAACTGAGAGACCTGGCTAACAATGTGTGCACGCAATCCTACTTCCAGTTAAACCCTTTGACACCTACAGTGCCAGGTCTCTGGCACCATCTTAAACACTTGAATTGTGGTGCTGATGTCGCCCTTTCCACCTCCACACAGGTGCTGAAGCCATTCTCGATGGCTCGTCTGGACACACCCCACACTGAGTCACCACTCAACACCATAGCCTCATAAGAACAAAACGGACTTTGGGAAAACAGAAAGGAGCCATGATGTGAATTACCTGCTTTATTCTTACATCATTACAGGGAGGACTTGTGCTCCTTCTCTTCCTAGGAGACCTGCTGCCCCGTCTCACTGGGGACTTGTCTCTTCCTCTGGGCGGTGACCTATCAACATAGTTTACACATAAATCTACAACAAAAATATTCCTCCTTGCTCAAGTCACTAAAGTAACACTTTATACACTGAAGACGGTAAGAAACCTTAATAGCTAAGTCTTCAACCCCAAAACTTTGCATTACCTTGCCGTAGGACCTGCCTGTCTGCACAATCTACTCAACACATCCCCAGCCACCCACTTAGGATAATGAAGCACGGCGTTCTGCAATGCCTGAGGTCACATCCCAAACACAACCACAGCAGAGCATCACTCAGAGAGGCTTGATGCAATTTCTAGTGCTGCACTGTACAAGGGGATGGACAGAGGCAGGTTTACACTTTTCTATAAATCTTTTCCTGAAAACGTCTTATCGGTCGGCACTTCAAATTGTTACCGGCTGGAGTAAAATAATGAACCTAGGTAGCAAAATCATCAAAGTAAATCAGGCCAGCCTAAACGTTAACTATATACAGCATCATAGAGTGGAGGTGACACCCCCTCCGATGTGATTTACACTACTCCCACCTAATAACGCCTCTGTACCGCGATGTGTAATGTTCAAACACAGGAAAGGGTTGACCCCTTTTGCAATTCCCCCTATTAAATAATACAAAGTTATTTATATTGACTGAAATTCTGTTTGTCCTGACCTCTTTGTTGATGTTGATTTCACTGGAATGATCTCAGCCGCAAAATTATTTTCTTCCTAACGGATAACTACATTTGGACTATAACAGAGTTAACGTGCGGCGTACCCAGTATTTAACTTAATCGAAAGAGCTAGGCCTTCAATCACAGCAGCTCCTATAACGCTGTATATAATGCACTACCAAAAGACGGCTCCTTTCGTGAGATACGGTATAAAACGCCTAGTATTTGTAAATACATAAAAACCTATTATTTTTTTCCCAGCTTTCGTTTCTTGTACCCTCCCTACCTGCTGGCTCTTCTCCTGTGCGGGGGTGGGCTTGCGCTGCTGCGATCTGACGCCGAACTCGAGCGGCGAGGTCTTTTAGGCCTGACGGGGCTCAGCCTCTCCTGTTTAATTTTCGTCTTTGTTTCCTTCAGTGAAGGAGGGGACTCCAGCTTTCTGTGTCTTCTCTCCTTGTCCATTTCTCAAACGATTTGTCTAATATCGTTTAGGAGAATTTAAAACACTCTCATCGCAGATATTTTTCAGATGTAATTCCTTACACAAACGCAAAGTCCGTCTACCACAGAACTCGTATCGGGCTTATTCCGGTTCCGGGCACATCGTATATGGGATCCGGATGTTTCAAGCCTTTCGAGCTATATCGTTCCGCTTAATTCGATACTATGGGATAAACTTTTCAATATATAAATCAGTTTAAGTGAGACTTTATGATGTACTGGCATTCTTTACAATAAAAATTCCATAATATACTCAAAATATATTTTATTAAAATAAATGTGTTTTAAAAAAAAACAAACTGTGTTGCGTAAATAACGTCAAGGACCCAGGCATACGTCTCAGCCTGCCTACGCTTCTGCTTTTCCAGATTTTTTTAAACCCACACATAATATTTATAATGTCACGTATTAACTGTAAATTAATGTATTCGTGTGTTCTTCGACAAGCTAGTTTTGTAAGGTTGCGATCTGGCGCAAATCCCGGAACACCAGGAGGTGAACTAAACATTGTAAATTGAGTGTTAAAACTTAGTTATTTTAATATTTTCTCTTATATACCACATAAAGCCTGAGAATATACGTCTCAACGTCGGTTATTTGTAATGAATGTATCTTTATATTATTTTATGAATATAACAATATATTTAACATTTAGTGCTTATGCTAGAAATATTCAATGTTTACAAGGCACACTTATTCTAAATTTTAAATATTTAGAACATTTTTACAGTACAGAACATATTGCCCGTATGATTAGTTACATTTGAAGGCTGGTTATGGTTAGTTTACCTGTATTTTTATAGTGAATCTGAGCATTTGTAATATTTAACAACTGAAATCATTTTATTTTCATATTTGATTAACCTGGTCTTCAGTTCTCTCATGTTCCGAATGATGTAGCATTTCTGACATTGTTTTAAAAACCTATATCCAGGTACATGTTTTAAAGCTTCCATTTGCCTCTTTTTTTATTACCATTAAGGTTTGTGTCTTCAGCCCCATCTGCTACTTTCAATAGTATATGAATTAGACGTCCACTGCTAAGAGCCAAAGTATTCCTTTTTATATGGTGTTTATGACACAGATGAAAAAAATGGTTTCTTCTCGGCCATTTGTTCAAGATCTCACCAGTTGATTGTGGACTTTACTGTCCATTTTCCTCCAGTCCTAGCAAACGTTCCAGGAGGAGGAGGAGAAGCATCGCCACCATACCTTACTTCAGAGAGTTGACTGGGAAATGTGCTGTGTTGGGACAGTACCAAATGTACTGCTGGCGTTTGCACCAAAAAGTTCCAATGTGATCTGAACAGATCACAACACCTTTTGCCACATGGTTGCAGGATCACTGCAGTGCTTTGTTGCAGACTCTATGCAGGCTTTGGATTGACTTATTTTTTGTACTGGCTTTCTTACAACCTGCCAAATAGATTTAGTATGTGACACAAATTATTGACTGCCCATTTTCTTCCATCTCAGCCATCGAACTCTTAAAAGTTGTTATTAGCCTTAAAGTGGCATTTCTCACCAGTTTCCTCCTTGTCTGATGCTCACTTTGGAGGTAGGGTCTGAGAACGCAACAGTGTGGGTGATATATTTCTTGATGATTGGAGTAGACTTTGAATGTTTAATACCCTTCTCCTGATCTGTGTTTTTAATTGATTTGATCCTTTTTAGTTTGAAAGCTACTTAGTCATGATATTCACTACCTGACTAAGGACCCTCATATAGAGAATCGGTTTTATTCTTAAATCAAGAGATCCAATATTATGTCATACAGAGGCCACTCAACGTATTGTAAGACTCATTAAGGTACTTTTGTTCACCTAAATTAATTTACCTTTTCCACAACATCTTGAATGCTTATGTAATTAACACTTTTCCATTTTTAGCCAAGTAAATTATATATTTACTTCTTTTTTTTTTGAATGTGTGAAGTAGGTTGCGTATGTAACAGGTATTAATTACTACTCCAAGGTGTCATGACTGCAAACTTTAAAGCAACACAATGTGAAAACTGTGGATGGATATGAATTGGCTCTGCATATGCATGTCTGGATTATTAAGGCTTCTGAATGTGAGTGGAATACCATATAAATATACTGGATTATTTTCACAAATTTATAGCAGCTTTAAAAAATATACAAACAGTAATGGAGGTTTCTGCATGAACAGAGGATTAACAATTCTCCAGCCTACTGCAATTTGAGTTTTACTGCTCTTTCTGGAAAGCTAGAGCTGATTAGACAGATTCTCAGCTGTTTCATTTACTTGTTAGTTAACCATTAACTAGTGGGTGGAGTAGTGGCACTGTGGCTAAGGGTTGGTGCCTGTGGCTAGAAGGTTGCGGCCCAAATCCCACAGCTGACAGAGGAATCCTACTCCTGAGCAAGGCCCTTTAACCCCAATTGCACCAGGGGTGCTGTATAAATGGCTGCCCTGCACTCTAACCCCCAAGCTTCTCTCTCCCTCTCTGTGTGTCTCATGGAGAGCTATTCTAGAGCTAATGCAAGAAATTGGATATGACTAATAAAGTCATCTTATCTTATCTCTTAACTGAAAGGCAAAACCAAAGTTCAGTCATTTATCTATGTATAAAGTGGGATTTCCAAAAGGTGTCTCCGGAAAAAAAATCATCTTGATGCTTCTCTTACTGGAAGAGACACCAGTTTTCATTACTGATGGCGTCACACAAGGAAATTAAGAAAACGGGTTGGGAGGACTTAAACTCTTACTCCCACTGCTGCATTTAGATTGTAAGGGCTACAGCCAGTCTCTGTGTATTATGGAGAAGATGGAGCGAGCACCTGATGTCCACTGGAGAAGGAAACTGTAAGTTAAAGAAAATAACTGTTTTAAATCCATAAATCGCAGATTAATGCAGAACTCCTGCTAGGGTGTGAAACAAAGTCAGTCTGTTGCTTGCTGGAGTGGATTCTAGTCAGGGATGGGGCGCATCTGTATGTATGTCTTGTTTGTCGCTATAATTTTATGTCTGACTTGTCTGTATTTGTTTATACAGTATCCGAGGGCCAAGGGAGAAAGAGTGGCTTATATTGGCAGGACCTGAGAGTCTGGCTTCTGAATGGATTGCCAAGAAAAAATCTGAACTTGTGGATCTACTTTCTAAGGACCCTGAAAATGTTTTAAGCCTAACATATTCTAAAGGCCTGATTACTCCAGCTGAAGGCCACTGGTTGAGAAAATATCCAGTCAAACACCAGATGGCTGAACTGGTGGCAGTAATCATTCATAAGAAAAAATCCCTTACTTTCCTTCAGCTTCTAGCAGAACTGTATGGAAAGGCATACCGCAGACACTATAGATGGATAATGGCTGTTTGTTTAGAACAAAAGGGTAAGTAATGGTTTGATTCCTTTCTCTCTAATGAAAGTGCCAATGAGAGCAAATGATAATTCTTTTGAAAAATATTTTTGGGCATTGCTTTTCCACACAGAGGGTGTCCCACACAAGTCACACGAGCTGTCCATCTTTTGTCTCTTTAGAACCTCTGGATGAAAACAGGACAACAGAACGAGCCAGGGACCCTGTGGACAAGCCAAACCTTTTTGTTAAGCCCTGTCCTCTGGAAACAAGGAGACACATTCAGGACAGTCAGAGAGGGGAGGTAGGCCTGCAAGTCAAATCCAAAATCCTCTCTTTTTCCTGTGAGTAGAGCCCTGGGGGAAGTTAGATCTGTGGGATTCCTCAAGGAGCCCTTTGAAAGATCCTTTTTTAAGAATCAGTAAAATCCTGTATGATTAACAGTGTTAATTTAGTCTTGCAAAACCACCTGATACCCCATTAATCAAAACTATTGTAGATGGTTTAGCTGCACTATTCTGATACACACCACAAAAACTGCAGCAGTTTCTGTACCAAATATAATAGAGCAATTGCATTTGGTACATTTACACACAGGACCATATGGAACATGCTCCCATACAACGGCAATACAGGCCATTTTTTCTTATGTGATATGAAGATACAATTCAAATACAAACTGATAGGTATCAATCTTGAAGAAGCAAACCATTAATAATCTTAGATGTTTAGGAGACCTTGCTAATGTCCTCATCTAGACAATGCAAAGGAGTGGTGGCTCTGTGGCTAAGGATCTGTGCCTGTGGCTGGAAGGTTGCTGATTCAAATCCCATGGCTGGCAGGGGAATCCTACTCTGTTGGGCCCCTGAGCAAGACCCCTAACCCCAACTGCTCCAGGGGTGCTTTACAATGGCTAACCCTGTGCTCTGACCCCAAGCTTCTCTCCCTGTGTGTGTGTCTCATGGAGAGCAAGCTGGGGTATGTGAAAAGATAAATTTCTTCTGCAAGAAATTGTATATGGCTAATAAAGTGATCTTATCTCTTAAGAAAGCCAACAAAATGTTAGAGTATACCAAGGACAGTTTGTTTTTCAATAAAAGTTCTAGTTATGTATCGGGAGGGTCTGATTTACAATATTGAAAGTATACGATTTTCACCATTTCACAACATTAAAAGGATATTGCTACTCTACATTAATAATTTAATGTAAAGTGTTGTGCCATTTCTGGCCTCAAAACAATGTCCTTCACAGACTGGTGAAGGCAAAGGAATCTCTTTAGTTCTGAAAACATGACATAGGATTTTGTTTTTGTAAGTATTGAAATCCTGGGAGGTGTTGACCAACATGACTCTCCATGACCAACGTAACAAGGACCAGAGGCCATAAATGGAAATTCAGACTGGAAAAGGGCTTCAACTGATGGGCTGAATGATAAGCTCTCATTTGTAACCTTTCATCTGCACTGTGACACGCCCTGGAGCAGGGTGTTATAGGCAGTGCAAGGAAGAACAAACACACACAGCAATGATAAAGAGAGATTGCTCTTTGACAGGGCAAGAGATAAAAAACAGTCTGTCAGCCAGCCAGTCACCCAGCCAGTTAGTCAGTCACCCAGCCAGCTAGTCAGTCAGTTCCTTCCTTTCTCCCTTCCTTGGGTTCAGCTTGAATAACAGAGGATCTGCTCTGTCTTCTGCATCTGTCTAATGGCTATCACTTGCCTTGCACAAACTGGTCAGGGAATGTTTGTGGGGAATGTAGTTCACACAAGAGTCTCCATCTTTTATGCACCTACCACTATCTCACATGCACCAATTGCACAGTTGTGTCAAATATTAACGTTGCAGATCTACTGCATCGGAGAGAAGAACAACCGAACCCGTCTGGCTATTATAATCAACAACATGAAGTTCAGGTTTGTGGATAGCCGTGATGGAAGTGAAGTTGATACAAAACAAATGAAGACACTGCTGGAGGCTTTGGATTACAGAGTGGAAGTAGTGGAAAACAAGACTGCTGAGGTGAGTCACAAAACATCTTAGGTGTGTAAACCTTACTCCTTACAGTAGGGTTATGTATTAGGCATGCAAAGATTCAGACATGATGAACACATTAAAATGCTCAATGACTATCTGAAACAACATCTGGTAGCCATGCTTGTAGTCTTCTGAAGAGGTTAGAATGGGCAGCTTTTCTCAGTCTGTGAGAGGAAAAATGAGCAAGCAGAGGTTCATTCCATGCTAAAAATAAAAAAAAACACAAGCATCATGTACCCACAAAGCTTTGGCTGTGGAGGCTGTGTGACACCATGTTGCATTCCATACATTTTACTTTCCTTGATTATGAGTAAAGGCATAATGTGCTATTGACTAATCTTACTTAGTCAAGAGTATGTGCACTGTTAGATGTACCTAATAGTTTAGAGACTGGAAAGTAAGGAACAGATTGGGATTTTATATATATGTATATTATATAGTGCTTTGAGTCCAGAAAAGCTCTATATAAATGTAAGGAATTATTATTATGTGTTTTTGGATTGACATGCAAAACCCCAATGCGACTGTTCATTTTAAAGTGTAGCCAGTCTCTGTAATGAACCATTATGTCCGCTCAACTTTAATTAAAAAGCTGAGGTATTATTCCTGGGAAGGGTAACATGTTAACAGACCTATTCTATTCTGGAATTCTGTCTGCTCTTTGGAAAAATCCTCATTTTCTGTTGACCAAAAAACAGGAGATGGAGATGTGTCTAAGATCATTTTCCAAGCGAGAAGAACACAAGATGTCTGACAGCACCTTCGTTGTGATCATGTCCCATGGTACAGAGGAAGGGATCTGTGGGGTTGATTACAATCCACAGCACAGCAGGAGCGAAACCATCCTGACAACAAAGGCAATAGGCAGGATCTTCAGCAATGACCATAGCCTGAATCTGGTGGGAAAGCCCAAGATCATTATTATACAGGCTTGCCGAGGAGGTAGGTCCTCGAACTACATTATTTGGAACCACAAATCATGAACCACAGTATTTGGAACCTCTAGTCAAATGCATCGATTGTCTGAATGGAAAGCAACATGTGGATGAAATTAAGGAGCAGGAGACAGACTTCCATCACCTTCCTTGGCAAAAAAAAATCCCCAGATCTCACCCTAGTGAACACCAGTAAACCTTGTGAAACATGTAGCTCATCTCCCAAACACCATTACCCTCTTCTCCTTGTCAGCTGAAGGTGATCCTGCTGGAATAATGGTATTGGATATTCTGCAAAAGTATCAGACCTGAGTGGCATGGTGGTGCAGTAGTTAGCTTTGCAGCTATGCAGCACTTGGGGCCCCAAGCTTCATTCCGGATGTGGGGTGCTATCTGTGTGGAGGTGTATGTCCTCCCAGTGTTACCACCAGGTTTTTCCTGGTGCTGTGGTTACCTCCCACTGTCCAAAGACATAGAGGTGGGTTAAGTGGCTTTTGGGAAAGTAGGCTGTGGTGTTAGTGTGTGTACCCTGCGGTGGACCGGACTTGGTGTATCCTGCCTTACACCCATTGCTTTCTGGGATATGCTCCAGCTCCCCTGCAACCCAGTATTGGATAAAGCAGAATAGAAAATGGATAAATGGATTTTAGAACTTTGTGGAGTACTTGCCACTTCCTGCTCAGTCCTTCCTTCCTGCTTACAAATGTCTAGTAAGAAGTGTGTTGAGGGTTCCTAATACTCTAGCCTGTAATGCAGGATGTGATGGTCTAATATTGCTTTTATTTATGTTTCTTTTCTTTCGAAGATGAATTTTCAATTTTCAAGAAGGATAATAGCTCAGACCACATTTATTCCCCTTCATAACAAAATACAAGCTTTCTTTTTGATAACTTTTTAATTTGCAATATTTCTTGAAACCAGAACATGAATAGAGCAGTGTAACTCAACAGCATTCTCCAACCCTCATCATCTGTGGGCCTATCTCTGTGTTTCCACACAGCATTAACAGCATTAATCATTAATGTTAGAAACTCTGCATCCTTCAGCTACAGCACTCTAAAACAGACCAAATGAATAGTTAATGCTATCTGGCAAGAAGCAGCAAGTGTTTTAGCCTTTCAGTGAATTGGAGAGTAATTTACACTTATGGCTTTAATTTCTAATATTAAGAATTATTACAAGCAGTGATAAATCATTCTTTTTTTAATGAGACAAAACAATCTTCCTTTTATTTGCAGACCACAAGGGCTTTGTCATGATCCCCACTAACAAAGGAGACGATGAAGAGTGTTTGACAAAATATGACTCAGACAGTCCTTTAAACAAAATTCATAAGGAGAGTGACCTCGTCTTTTTCTGCTCAACCACACCAGGTCAATTTTTCTTTCTTTTTTTAAAATACATTATTAGCATGAGCATACCATTGTGGATATATGTACATCAGTGGCTGTTTCTGTGTCAGTATTTCAATAGAGTTCTACATGTATTTCTTTTCTGCAATTGTGACTTTCTAATCTCAACCTGTACTCTTCAAGGTAAAATCTGAAGGTTATGATTTTGATACTGCCAACTGCTTTCATGATTTTATAAGGTCATATCTACAAAAGCAGTCAGCAATATAAGCTGTGTCATCTGTAGAATTCATTTTTACCAGGAAGATTAAAAACCTAGAAGAGCCTAATTTGGGCAGGTTATAATGGGTTTAGTTTTAAAAATAGTTCGGCAAGTATTATTGTCAAACTGTCAGTTTTAGAAGTCTTCTCCTTCTTCTTATAATAGGAACAAGAGCATATAGACACCGTAAAAATGGAACAATGTTCATACAAAGGTTGGTGGAAACATTCAGAAATCATGCTTGGAATTTCCACATTGAGGATCTCTTTAAGAAGGTCAGTAATGGCTATTTCACCATATCCTGTACCTGAAGTATCTTAAATCTTGTAAAATATTATGTGGATACATAGCCTAGACCTTTCACACATGTATCGAACTACAGAAGACCTGATTTGTTCAAGGTTATCATGAACATGCATAGGAGTATTCATAAAATTTATGTAAAAACTACTTCCCAGTAAGAAGAATATATTCTAATTTTGGGTCATATTGATCTTTTTTAATGCTTATATTGAGCTTTCATCCCCTTTTGCCTCTGCTACTATCAATGGAGCTGTTTCACTGCTATTTCACAGTTTTCTAACATCTTGAAGCTGGGGTGGGTTGCAAAGAGAATATTTGTTACTGTTGGCTGAATGTGGGTATATACAGTAGGGATAATCTGCTCCAATTATTTAATCTGTAGTATCAATGAAAATAATGATTAAAGAAATCATTGCTAAATATGAAGAAAATTAAAACAGTTCAAATGAAATTCTGAGAACCTTAATTGCTTACCTACCTATTCCAGAAAGTTACATTTCAAAGAGAAAGAGTAGATAGAATGCTTGGATTATGACTTTCCTTGTCAATTTGATCGACTGCCACCAGAGGGCAGCTTCATGAGGTTCTTAGAAGCCTGCTATAGAGGAGACCACTAGTGGTGTCAGAACAATTTTCCACTCAAGCTGGTAAAGCCCTCTGCTGTAGTGCTCTTAATGTACAAGAACGATAAACAAGTACATTATATTGAACTGCAATACAGAAAGTAAAAAAATTGGAAGAGAAAGGTGGTGTTGTGAGGTTAACTTAAAATGGTTTATTACTTGAAGTTCTACGAACCTTTTTTAACCCGCGTAGAAATGAAGTAGGCCTGATGATTGAAAATGATCTTCCAGGAGACTTAATAGTAATTATTACTATTACTATTTTTATTTATATCTAAATAGAAGATTTACAGGATAATATCAAAATATAGAAACAGTTCATTAACCAGTTATTTTCATATTTTAAGAGTTTGTAAAGGCAGTGGTTAGAACAGAAGTTCACAAAGTAAGCAATGTGATGTAGGCAGCATGTATTCAATATAGCTGAAATGCAATACCATTTCTATAGATGCTCGTGCCTTCACTGTTATTGCTACTATAGCATTGGGCAACTGGAAATGTACCTGTTTCCTAAATGTTTCCGGGTGGGTTTTTGCTATTTGTCTACATTTACAGGACTAAAACATTGTAGAATTTCTCCACAACACCTTGGCTGAAACAGATCTTAAAAATGGTCTCTTACAGGTCCAGCGTTCTTTTCACAACTTTCCTCAACAACTGCCCTGCAAGGAAAGAACAACGTTGCTCAGAAACTTCTACCTCTTTCCCGGACACTGAGACTGCCTGAGAGTAAATCTCCTTCGGCTCTGAGATCTGAGCCCATGTTACAAGACACCTGTGATAAAGAAAGCTGTCTTTTGTGAAAATAGTCAAACAACAAATATGCAATAACAACAATTATTTTAAAAAGATAGCCTTTATTAACAACAATAATTGTAGTTTAAGAGACAGTTAAATCCTTACTTCCTAAAAGAACACATTACAACATATTCATTGTTCCTGTTGTCAACATTGTGTTGTCTGTTGCACTGTGTATGTGCCGAGGGATCAGTGTACGTATGGAAATAAACTATTCTACTGCTCTACTAGAACTCAACGAATGGTCAAATATTTAAAATAATTTTCCTGCACATGTTTATTTTTCAGTATTTATAATGTATTAATATTTTGTAAGGAATGTAACTGCATTGGTTTAGTGTTTTGACTCATTGTCATCAGTATGTCTTGTATTTTCTTTTTGATTGTTTCACTTGAGTTTTACTCTGTATTCTCAGAAAGCTCTTTCAACTGAAATGTTTTGAACTTTGAATTAAAATGAAATGCATTTTAAACACTGATCTGGATCTGAGCCCTGAAAGAGTTGTAAAGCATACATTAAGATTAAATAATTTGTGTTCTGAGCTGCGCAAGGCGATGGGGGGATAATGCTTGTGAAATAAAGAAAATCATTTTGGGTTTTAGAAAAAACAACAAATCCTTACACTTCTAAAGCGCTTTACAGCTAATGGGGATTTCGCTCCACAACCAATGTAGCCCCCACCTACCTGAGTGATATCCTTGTGGAGGACAGCAGAGTGATGAAGCCTGTTCATAGATGAGGATTATTAGGAGGCCATGATTAGTAAATGGAAAATTTGGCCAGGATGCCGGGGTAACACCGCTTCTCTTACGAGAAACGCCCTGGGATTCTTAATGACCATGGAGAATCTGGACCTTTGTTTTACGCCTCATCCGAAGGACGGCGCCCTTTTTACAGTGTAGTGTCCCTGTCACTATACTGGGGCATTAGTACACACAGAGGCCATGGGGTGAGCACCCCATACTGGTACCGACAAGGCTCACACCTGCTTAGCTTCAGTGGGTTGCCCATTGTGAGTGCAGGGTGATATGACAAAGAGGTTCCGTGTAACCTTATCTTTATAGACTCTTTTATATAACTCTTTATAATTGTTGCATTGCCCACAAGGCTGCAAACACACGACTTAAGAAAGGATATTATTATTAATTTGTTCTGAATTTGTGTATTTGACCGAAATGTTTAATTTCTTCACATCTCCACGGTGTGTCGCTACAATTGCTCCGCTGAAGTCGGACGTGTCTTCGTCTCAACGTCGGGGCCACCGTACACCTGACACGGCCGGGTAGGTTGCTACGGCAACTGTAAACAGTGCTTCCTCTCAGTGTTGTTTGCAACAACTGAAAGTTCGCGGGCTGTTATATATGTTGCCTTGTGGCCTTACTGCTATATTGGAAATAATAAAAATATTTACTCTAACTCGGCAACATGATTCCGCCTGCTGATTCTCTGTTAAAATACGATAATCCAGTGCTGGTGAGCAGAAATACAGAGAAGAAATCACCGAAGGTAAACACTTAAGGAAAATGCAAGTACAGTACTTTAACTTGTTGCCTTTAAACATAATGCATTAAAATAGTGTGGATATTTCTGCGCCGCCATATATGTTCATATATATATATATCAGACATAGTCAGATTATAAAATGACGGTATTTTAATAATGTACAAAATATGTTAATATCAATGCAATAAGAAAACTTGAATTTATCATGGGGATGGGAAACATCTACTATTCTTTCTTGACAGACGAATATAGGCCTTTAGTTTAAAAAGTCCCAAACGAGAAACATTTTTTAATTATGTATGCAAGCGTTTTTAATTAGTCAAAATACCTGGGATTATAGAATTGGTCTATATTTTTCATTTGATTATAATTCGTTTTATGGTGGTAAAATTCTAAGGTGGTGACAGTTCATGTGGCACAGTTCCCAAGTCCAGATGCAGTTTGGCATGTTTAAGCCCCCACAAAAATCATAAATAAAACCTCAAGACCTGAAAAATAAATTGTTATGTAAATTGAAATCAAAGCAAATGCGCACATCTGTCAGATGTTGGTAACTTTTATCTAATGCCAGTAGTACTGACTCAAAGCCCTGGAGTTAGAGTTGGGATGGTGTCCAAGAGATGTTTAGGACAGACAGGTCATTTTTTGTTGTTTCGTGAGCAGAAAGCTACTCTACTGTATAGCTAATGCAAACCTTTGTTATTTAAAACAACAGCATACGACATATAAAAGGTCATAAATCAAACTACTGGAGAAGGTGGATAGAAAAACACCAATTCGAAAACCAAGATGTTAAACTTGGCTAGGAGAGAAGTCTGTATTTGAAACTGGGAGGAGGGAAAAAACACGTCTGTTTTGGCCTTGAGTTGTGGCTTCTGCTAACTTCACGAATGCTTTATAACCAGTATTTGTTTTTCTATCCTTGCAGTTTACAGAATTTAAGAAATTCCTACTGTGCACAACAACAACAACAACAACAACAACAAAAAGATTGTGAGAAGAACTGTGTCAGTGTATGGGAATATTTTTTTTCCTCTTGCAGGCTCGTCCCTTAAAGGTCAGCCCCCAGCAGCCGGTTTTGACTGGACCAGTACCACCTCCCCCCAAACCCAAAGCACCTTCAGTGGATGCTAACAAACAGCAGACTGAAGAAATTCTCAACGCTATCCTACCTCCTAGGTAAATCACCTTATAAGTAGAGATTTTATTTCTGTTTTGTTCGGTTAAAGTTTAACATGGGAATGGAAATGATGAAGCACAAGAAAGAATATCTCACCTTTTAAGATGTATAGTATATTAGCAATGAAGTATACATTCTAAAATACTGAAAACAATGGCATATACTTCCTGCTATCACTGAAAACCAGATTAAAAATGATCAGAAAGATGCTTTTTTTCCCAGGTAATGGTCAAGGCATGGGACTACACCTGGATGGGACACCAGTCCATGGCAAGACACACAGAAAGTTTACAGACACTAGTTCACCTAATCATGTCTTTGGAAACTGGGAGGTAATCAGAGCACCTGGAAAAAAACTGAGGAACATGAGCTTAGAAATTCAGTCTGGAATTGCACCAAGGACCAATATTTGTGAGGCACAGTGCCGACAGATATGCCACCTTCTTGCACTGTGAAATTAAATCATAGAACTATTACCATTAATGCTGGACGTCTGAAGGTTGTGGCTTTTTACTTTCCACTCCCTTTATTCTAGATAATACTGTACATCTTTCTTAAGTCTTCTTGAAGGTCTTTATGGCTGGCAAGGTGGTTTGGGCAGCTGCTGCTCTCAGGGTACACTGGTTTCCTCCCACCTTTCAAAATCGTGCTGAGTAGAGTTAATTGGGTAGTTTACATTTCCACACAAGAGTTCAGCCCTAGCCTGTGGAGTAGCTGTTTGACTCGCTAGGAATCAGGTACAAAGAATAGTGTCTCAAAGAATAGTGACTATTAATAAGCAGATCCATTTTGTGGTTTGATATTTAAGCTCAAACACAGCGGATGAGGTTAAGGTAAATATTAAAGTAAAGACAAATTGAAAGTGTGAAGCAGTGCATAGCTTGTAATGTATATTGCCAGACGTCGGATTTACTGTAGATAGCGGACTCCCAAAACACAATTCAGAAGTGGCTTAACTATACAGCCCAAACAAAAGTAAAACCCAGTACATCAAAAGACGAATCCATTCACACTGAGAATTTGAAAGCTAATAAAAAAACTCTGGGAAAAGTTCTCGCTATAATATGCTCATTGCACACACTCAGTGAGCGCTGTTGGACAAGTGTTGTAAGAGCTGTGACAAATAACAAGCAACTGCCCACATGGGTTTGAATTTATCACTGCCTTGATTATTAATATTGCGTTCAACATGATACTCACATCAGATATTGTGACTCGCTTTGTCATTGCAGGGAATGGATGGAGAACAATCAGCTGTGGGTGCAGCAAGTGTCCAGCACACCCTGCACTCGAATGGATGTCGTCCACCTCCAGGAGCAGCTGGACCTGAAGCTGCAGCAGAGACAGGCCCGTGAAACTGGGATTTGCCCGGTGCGCAGGGAGCTGTACACACAGTGCTTCGGTATGTGTGGGAGAAAAAAGACAATAAAACGATCCTCCACCTGCATATCTCATACTCCTTAGATTTTTCAATAGGATGGCTGAAAAACCATCTGGCCCAGCTTTTGAATCTAGAATCTCTTTCCACCACTTATAGAAGGAGTCCTCTAACAGCTGGTTCAGTTTTTTGTACTCCATTATAAAAATTGTTGTAATTATTTGCAATTCACTTGTCTCCAGCTATAACCCCCTTAGCGATGGCTGAAATACCCTATTTAAGAATGTACCAGTAATATCCCGCATTTCCATAAACACAAGTGGGAAGAAGCCATCAGGTCCCAGAGATTTCAGCAACCCTATCCCCTTTGAGCCTCGGCATCAGCATCAGCTATGCTGAAATTGCCTAATACTGCTTGAGTACATTCTGCAACAACTTATCTAAAAAAAAACACTGTTAACAATATTTATTTAGCCTTCTTTATCTTATTCATCTCCTCTTATCATGTGAACTATTAAAACCTTTATCATTGTAGTGCCAACAATAACTAAAGCTGTAGCCCCCAGCCATCTTGTCCTTTTCAGCTGTGTCTGTAGCTTGATATATTCTTTTTAATCCTGGGTGCTTTCAAGCATTGTGTTCTTCCTTCAGACTTTTTCTTAATTTCTCCAATAAACAATCTAGACTATAGACATATTTTTGAGATGTGAATGCTTTATCATTGTTTATGTAGTACAGTTTAACCATTCTTCTTTTGACTTTGACTCACATCTTACAGCAAGTTACTTGTACCCATGTCTACATTAGCTGTTCTATCGCATTCACCTTTTGTTAGTTTGTATAGGTTCTAAACTGTCTGCATCTACTTGCTTCATTTCATCCTGCTGCTTATTTTCAAAATGCAGTCCCATCACACCACCCCTTCCTTCTTACCCAGACATGCTTCATTTATTCTGTCGAACACTGGGTTCTTGCATTTTATTCCTTATACTTTTAAAATGGAAGTATAAGCATTTCAGAAAGTAAGAGTTGCTTCTCCCCGTAAACTCAACAGCCTCTTCTTGTATGTTAAAAAAATGTAAGTCTGCATCTTTTCAGGATTAAGCTACAGATTATGTTCCATTTTCCCAGATGAACTCATCAGGCAGGTCACCATCAACTGTGCCGAACGCGGGTTGCTTCTGCTGCGGGTCCGGGATGAGATCCGGATGACTATCGCTGCCTATCAGACCCTCTATGAAAGCAGTGTGGCATTTGGGATGAGGAAGGCTCTTCAGTCTGAGCAAGGCAAATCCGACATGGAGAAAAAGGTGCTTTTACTAACTTCAATTACAAACTGAGATTTCTAGAAAAAGTATATAAGAAAACAATTTGGTTTGTTTCCGAATGTAATTATGTTTGTTCGAACAGAAGATATTAAATGTTGCACTGCATTTTTACTCTCTCCAGTTGAAACTTGAACAGGATCAATAGCAATTTTGATTGTTTTCACAACTATCTCCCTAGATTTCCGACTTGGAAAATGAGAAGAAGAACTTAGAGAGGCAACTGAATGAGCAGAAAGCCAAATGTGAAGCCATCGAGAAGCGGGAAGCCGAGAGGAGGCAGGTGGAGGAGAAGAAACACACGGAAGAAATCCAGTTTCTCAAAAGAACTAACCAGCAGCTCAAGGTACATCCGGGTGTAACAAGACACCTTTAACACAGTGACAAGACCAGCAGTGCCCAACAAGTGACAGAAGGCAAAGCTGTGCATTACTTCTGTAACTTTTTAAAACAAGTATACAGCTTGAAATGTGAAAGCTGTATTAGCAGTCACATCAAGAAAGTTTACTAATTGGGTTTACCTGCATTGTCAGTGAAAGAAGTGTTAGGAAGCTAAGTCAGCTCATCAGACTGTAACTTGTACTGGTTTCGATATTGTTAACTCCTTTAATAATGTGTACCTTTTGATTTTAAGAGTACACTCATGATACACAACCCTTTACACTTGATTGAACAGATCAACAGAATTCCTGTATACTGTGCTTGCAGGCAAACAATAATCATGGGTAGACATGGCCTCCTTCTTAAAATAAATCTCCAGCAATGCAAAAATGTTTTTTACCTACATGTTATGAGCCCATGTTTAACACTTAGGTACATTCTTTGTTTTGCAGGCACAACTGGAAGGTATCATTGCCCCGAAGAAGTAAATGGAACGCTTTTGTAACACATGCATGATTTCTAACAGCACAAAGTTTTTATTAAACTTTGAAACATTCTCCTTATTCTCTTGAGTATCTTACAGATAGAATTTAACAACTCAAACAGCTTTTAATGACTTGTGGCACTTGTGTTTCAAATCTTATTGTTTTTGCACAATGTTATCAATAATGTTTTGTCTGAATCACACAATTGTACACAGGAACATGGACACTGACTAACCTCCAGTGGAAGCAAATGAATCCTCAGTTAAATCAGAACTTCAAGCCATCTATCACTCACCAGAACTCATGGCAGTAGCCTCTAGCAAACAGAAATCCACCATCATGTTCTGGGTTTATAGTTCTGTGGCTGGCAGATAAATTGAAATTTTTATTTAATCCAAGCTTTTCTAATGTCTCAAAAATGTATTTCTTCAAGTTTCAAATGCATTCAATATTCCTTACGGCCACCTCAAAAGTATAGCATCACAGAGATACAAACCTTTACTTCAATTATCTAAAAAGGCCAAAAATTAAGACTGGTTTAAAATAATTAAATTTTATTTGATACATTGTGTGCGTCAAGATCTATGCTTCAATTTCTTTGTCTTTTTCCCCTCTAAACCACTGGATTTCTTTTTGTTCTTGTTCTTATTTTTGACATTGTGTGTTTCGTAGTATCGCACTCCAACTTTCTTAGACTTCTGAGCTCGTTCATGTCTTCTCTTCTGCAGAGAAAATGTTAAGATTCAGTCAAATTAAGCAAAACAACAGAAATAATAGACTACTTTAAAACTTTCATTACAACCACCCAACAAGCAGTAAACCATACACACCTCCTTTGAAGTCAGTTTTTTCTGAGGCTCATCATCATCATCTTCTGCTTTCCTCTTCGTTCCTGCTTTTGTGAGAACTGAAACAATGGGGATTTGTAAGTTCATAGAGAGTTGAACTATGCTTTACATTTACACATCTGTAACATCAGGACCCTGCACGCAGTTACAAGTGAAATGGGGGAGCTAGTCCAACTCCCAAATTATGTGTCAGCGGGGTTTCCATGACAATATGGAACAAGATACTAGGTGTTTTTAATTCTCGCACTGGGAAAAGCAGATTCATTAATTAGTCAGAATTGGGTGTTTTTTTCATTTGTTTGCAGCAGCTTGACTAGGAAACAGGCCTATTAAAAACTAATAAAACCTCTGTGCAATCCTGAAGAGAAAACATCAATGTGCTTTATTATTATTATTCTTTCATTTTTGAGGATAGGTACACCGAAAAGAAAAAACATTTACATATCTTGGGCAGAAAAACACAGCCACCTTCATAGCACTGTTCTGGGAGGAAAGTTTAGGTAGGAAAGGTTTAGCCTGTCTACCAATGGAAGGGACTCTAGACCACATATTTACATTCATCTAAACTTTTACTTTTAATGCATTTTTCATGGGTCATCTCCTTTACCTTGGAACACATTATTCATCTGTACTGCTCAGTACACTGGTCATGAAATGAAAGAAAAAATATTCACCTTTTGCGTGAGAATCAGCTGGCTTTGTTTTCTGTTCTGTTTTTGTGAATACTTTTTCTGAGAGTCCTTTGGGTATCCTAAAGAAGAGAAGTCACGCCATTTAACATATGAGCACTATAATAATTACAAATGCACCCAGTTGCCTTATCATAATGTACAAATTGTATCCTGCGTCTTTCTCCAAGAAAACTCAATTCCTGCCTAGAAAACAGTCGGGCAATGAGCTCAAGCATAAATCTGAAATGAAAAGCTTGCCATGTGGCCATTCTTAAAGCTCCAGGTGCAGAACTCAGAGAACCCTGCTATAAATCCCCCATTTTTTTTAACATGCTCCCTACTTTCTTGCTCCGATCTTAGTTCCAAAAAAAACACATACACATGAAAAGTTGGGTAAACGCACCTTATAGCTGAAAATCTCTTGGATTTAGCTTGTTCCAGAAACTTCTTGTACTTGGCAATTTTCTCATCCAAGGCACGGATCACTTCTTTAGACCCCTTGCCCTTGGTTCTGTTTGGTGCCGAGGGGTCGACTGGCACCTCTTCTCCCTGTTGTTCTTCTCCTCTCTTGTCATCCTCCTCCTCAGAGCTCTCATGTTCTGGCTCCGACAGGTCAGAAATGTCCGACACTTCCACTGGCACTAGATCTTCCTCGGTGAACTCGGGGGCAACGTTTATTTTCCCAAAGTTCTGCCGCATGTTTGACATGATCCTCTGGATTTGGTTGTGCTTCTTTGTTTCTGCGGGATCTGCTTCACTGCCCTCTGTTCCAGGTGCCTGCTCTGTCAGGGTGATTTCCTGATTTCTGGCAGGTTCTTCTACGCAGCCTGGATTAGCCTGAGGCTGCAAGGACAAGCAAGCACACCACACTGTAGGACTTTCTAAAGCACGGAGTCACAAAGGAAGTAATAAATGATGCTTATTTAAAAGGTGTATATTACAAAAGTGTTAATCCAGGCAGACTGTGGCATTAACCACACTGAATATTACTGTGAATGAAAGAGCAGGCTGGGAGGCATGCTAAAGAATCTGCCTTCCTGAAATCAGCTATTATAACTAAGCAGGGAGCAAATGTTATTGAGAAAATGAAAAACCTAATTTTGTGGCTCGTGGATCAAAGACAAAGACACGCCTCTAAGCATTGCCTCTCATCAGCAATAGTACAAGATATGTATGATTATATATTAAATAAATTCTGTAATTGGTTCATAATTTTCCTTTTTTAAAGATTTTTTTTAATACTGTATGGACTGTAATTTTACATACAAAGGCATCAGATCACGTCATGGCTGTAATGTTCTTTATCGTAGGTGTTAGGGTCGTAACATACAACGTGTTTCAAGTGGGGTTATTCCTATAAAAATGCCTAACTCACCTTATAAAGTTAACTTTTTTGTTTTTACTTGAACTGAGTATTCTGTATAACTAACCGATGAGAGGAAGAAATGTAAAACACTCTTTTACAACGTTATTCCCTTTCAAAAGTCCCAAAAGTGCTACAGGGGAAACACCCGGAATAAAAGTTACACCTACAATGCTGAGCACAGTACCAACCACCCAAAAAACGCAACAATTAATTGTATATTTTTTATCCATCCATCCATTTTCTAACCGCTTCACCCAATTCATGGTTGCGAGGGAAGCCAAAGTCTATCTCGGCAAGCAAAAGGTGCAAGACAGGGTACACCCTGGACAGGACACTAGTCCACTGCAGGCAAGAGGCACAGACACAGTCACTGTCACAGTCACAGTCACGCCAGAACCAGTTTACCCAGAAGCCAATTGACCTACCAGTGTATGTCTTAGGACTGTGGGAGGAAACTGGAGCACCTGGAGGAAACCCACGTGAACACTGGGAGAACACACAATCCCCATAAAGAGAGCAAACCAGATTCAGAACTGAACCCAAGACCCCAGTGCTTCAAGGCAGCAAAGCTTACTACTACACCACCATGCAGTCCTATACGTTTTATGTAAAATTGATTTAATGGATAATATTGTGATATCACATGCATCACACTGAATTGTTTCTCTAATGGGTAGGTTTACCATAGGTTTTAGACTGAATCCTTTATGTGTACTGCACTGTAATTATATGAAAAGGCAACTCATGTAGAATTTGGGTTACGTAGTACATTCAGGAATGTAACCCCTATGTAAGATAATAACTGCCTGTACAATTTTTTCTTACCTGCAGAGGGCATAATTAGTTCATAGCATAGAGTTTTTAATAAAAAAAACAAATACTATTTAGAACGCTTTTCTAAAATCTTTTATCTGATTTATTGTATTTATATATTTGGCAAGAATTCATGTTATTAACAGTGATTTAAGAACTGAATCAAACTATCAGGATTAAAAGAAAAGATTATAAGCAGTTTTGGATGTACATTTGTCTTGGAACATCATATCCAGATTTAAAAAAAAACATTCTTGTTTAAATCTTTACATAAGTCAAGATGAAAGATAATAAAAATACCAATTTTTAATGAACAAGTAGAAAGAGCCACTCTCACCTCCCCCTCCGATTCTCCAACTGGAGGCTTCACGAAGTACGGAATGCGCCCCCTCTGCCAGTCATTCAGGACCATTTTAGACACTGTTTGCATGTCTGGTTCTCCGCCCTTCATGAGAGCAAAACAAGAAAATATTTACACGGGCCGCCATATGCACTGCACTTTTAGCTTGTATTTTCAGGTAGCTAATTCCCTAGAACATGTTTAACTACATATAAATGGAAGAAAAGGGTCAATGCCAATGAATAAACTGTAGATCTGTATGCTTGGGCTAACATGATTGCATCAAGTGCGAAAATATGTGCTCTAATTTCCTTGCAAGTTAGGGGTCTGAACTGCCACAGGGCTGTTAACTCCTTGAAGCACCAGAGGCCTAAGTCCTGAGAAAAGGGTTAAACTGATGCAGGGCTTCACTGGGCTGATTTAACACTGCTTCACAAATCTTAAAGACTTCGACTGTAATGGCTGCTAGACTGCAGCAGTTAAGGACCAAAATTAGGCACCTCTGATTTATAGGACTCGGTCAGTTATACCAGGCGACTAGCCAACAGAGCAAACTAAAACTTTACTTCAAGACACAAATTAATTTGTATATTTCTGAGCTACGTGTGGTCCAGTCATTCATCATAAATGCTTTTACCCTAATTGTACCTCAGGCACACAAATAGAAGAATATAAACTATGAAGTAGTAAAATGGTTGCAGAGAAAGTACATTGCTTAATGTTTTCCATTTCATCACTGTTTTTGTGACTGAATCCTTCTCATACTCTGGAAGAAAGTACTGACCTTCAGGAGTTTTCCAGATCTGAATGCCAGTTTTTCCAAGAAATCTTCTGCCGACTCCCAGGTGTCAATCCGGTACGTCTTCTGGATGTATTCTGTCTTGGCCCTTTCAAGCACTGCGCCAATGTGCTCTTCTGGGTTCTTGATCTTCTCTACTTGAACCTGAACGTGTTGTAGAAGACAAACTGAAACACCCCCTCAGGATCAAGGACAGGTGTGGCAATACTCTGTCGAAACAACCTTTTAGTCTGCTGGAAATAATGACAAAATTTGCCATACTCTTTGAAAAGAGTTCTGAATACTTGAAGTTGATGCACAAGCAGGCAGCTTGATGTCATGCCGCAACAACAACGAGACAAAAATTTCCCCCAAATTACAAAATTGCTGTGGCAAAGCAAGTGAGACAAAGAAAAGAAATGGAACAACTTACAACTCCTTTTAAGACGATATCTGTCTCTGTGTCACCAGATGGGTACACAACTCCAGGGCAGTCAATCAGGAAAATGCGCCGCATCAGGGTGATGTACTGCCATACCTGTGGGAATATCACCCCATACATCACATAACATCACAGATTAATCAACTTTTTTTTTTGGAAACTGTGGCCAAGGTGTCACTTCAGCTGCTGAAATCACAAGACTTCACATGCACGCTAGCTGGATTCATGTGAGGTTTAATAGGGTTCAACCTCAGATGTAATCAACTAGCCAGAGCTGGATGGAAACCTTGTAGAGGTTTCCCCTAACATATGAAATGAATCAAGCTTCTGCAGAGCCAAAACGTATCTGTTTCCCCATAAACAGCAGCTTATTTCTCCTCACAGTGGATAATGAATTTCCTTGAAAATGTATATTTTAACATTTAATTTTTCATCACACTCTGCCTTTTATATAGGATTGATAATATAACACAAACGTTACAGCAATTAAGGCAGAAACACAACCGTGTGCAACAGTGCACCTTGTGAAGCACCAAGCCTTCTGCTCAGGACCCTGCAAGAACACTGCCTCTGGAGAAAGAGGTTTTAGAGGTGTGAGGCGAGTACTGTCCATAAACCAATTTTCAATGTTGAAACCCCCCCCCCAAAAAGCAGCAGAATTTCATAATAACAATGAAGTACATCCTCATTAAATCAACGATGTAAAGGGTATTTCATCTAATTTAGTGGGAACAAAAACTACAAAAGAGTGGATAGGTATGGGCAAATTAAGGAGTATCTGCACACAGCTTAAATCAGTATCTGATCCAGTGGCAGCATCATTTCCTTCTATCCACCCACTAAGAAATAAGTATCAGAAACATGGAACTGACTCAATAGGAGCATGCTTTTCTGAAATCTGTAAAGGCACACTCTGTAAGTCATATAGATTTCTAAAGCATTCTCATGGACAGTGAACAGTGTCAATACCTTAATCTTTATCAATGATAGACTTGCAGTGTTGTTTATGAGACTTGAAATTAAATGGCACTTAAAATGCTCACTGACAGTGTAAGGACTGAAGATCGCTGCACATTCCAGATACACCTATGAATAAAGGGCTCATGCATTTTGCACACTGATCCGTACCCACCACTATCAGCAACAACGATTTCTAAACATTATATAAACTATATAAACATTTAACATACATAAGCCTGTGTATTGGTTTTCATTTGGGAGTTCATCCCTGCATGTCTCAAAACCTGATACTGATCAGGCACAGACTCCTTTAGCTTTGGAGGTATACAGGAAATAATGGTAAGTACAGCTTTCTTCCAATAACAGGACACTTTTAATTTAAAACCAGTGAAGTTTTAATTCAGTTAACCTTCCACGACATTTTAAGGACTTTCCTCAATGCAAACCTATCTTTTTTCTTCAATACATCAAAAAAATAATACGACTTCTAGTTTTGTGGCCTTGAAAATGCTTGTAGATGCCAAAATGCGGTCAAGTAAATCCTGGGAAAATGCCTTTAAAAGGAGAAGATAAAGAAGATTCTGTGTAGCAATTTATTTGCTGGTTGCCTTGGCGTTGAAAACCCAGCACAAACAGCTCCAGGATTTTGATTTGCAGCGCGGACAATTGTTTTTCAGCTGGAAACGGACGCCGATTCATCACTGCGAGGCGCTTCCTTGACCGTTGTTGGGGGAAACCGTTGTGGTGAGAAGGGGAGGGGGTGGGGGAGGTCTGCCTGCTACCTACCTTGGTCTCACCGGCGATGGGAGCCACGTTGCACACCTTCTTGGACCGCAAAGTGTTTATCACCGAGCTCTTGCCCACGTTTGGGTAACCGATGAATCCCACGCTGATCTGCTTTTTATCAGTGTGCAACTGTAAGAGAGCAATTTACACCAGGGGTTCACATTGGTCTGCATGAAAACAGGAAACAAGTATGGTTCTCATTAGAAACGAAGCGGACACTCCAAAAAACTATCCTTATCGGCACTCTAAATCAAAAGACCGAGAGACTAAACCCTCCTTTGGGGTCATGGTCTGGCTTGGATTCACTCACACTTTCCTGACGTGGCACAATATTCTTGAAGGGAATTTTAGCTGCTAAAATATTTTGACTACTTATCCACAAGGCTATGAAAAAAAGATAACAGAATCACTTATGTGAAATTTCAAGTCATATATATTGAATATATATTCTATTTACATATATGGAGGGAAACTCATGGAGGTAGGGAGGAGGGGAAAAATCCCGAGAGTGGGCAGGGGGAGTTTAAAGCTGGCTTAAAGAGGTGGAAGCAAAGGTAATGAATTCCAGGGGTGTGCAGAAGACAGTAATCTGTACTGCAATGGAGAGATTAGTTAATCACTGAGAGCTGGAGGAAGGCATGAGGTTTAAGGATAATTTTGACCTCCAATGTGTCTCTTGTGTAGGAGTCGTCAAATCCCTGTTAAAGGACCCAGACATGAAGCTCAGCGTAATTTCAGCAGGAGATTCATGTCTTCCCCATTCCCCCCACACTACTGAAGAGGTCTCACAGCAAAATTTCTTTTTACTTTTTTTGTAGAGAAGTAAACCTCTTGTTCTTTTGCAGCTCCCAACTCTCATTATTAGATGGTAATTATGTAAATGTTATTAAATTCACATTAGAGACAGTATTTATTTCAATTCACACATGGCTAATGAGGTTTACGCTATTAAAATGACTGAAGGTTTCACTCAACAAAGTTTGAATTCGCTCATTGCCAAAAATGAGTTGAAATTACCTTTCCAAACTGCCTTAAGAGCTGAATCAGCGAGCCTTTTCCAAAGGAGTTTGTGAGACTGGCATGGAAGGCTAGAGTGGGATACTCCTGTGACAAGATAGCAACCCACCGTTTCTGTGTGAAAGAAAAATATAAATGAGCCAAGTTTGCAGACTACATACAGACACACAGAAGGATGAAATACATTCAAAATTTCAAGTAGAGTACATCATAGAAATCAAGATGTATTAGTAAAATGAATTTGAGAATGATCCTTCAAACACACTTGCGAGCTGGGAAAGCACATTCAGATGCTGCTTCATAAGGTTGGGTACCTTTGCAGGAGACTGATGGTGGCTGTTCACCTGAAGGTCTGACCTTCAGGTCTCCTGCATGTCATGGCCACTGTTCTGAGGAGGCAGGCAGCTCCTGGAGACATTCTGCAACCTGACACCACAATTACACACAGCCAGGGCTGCAGTGCAGTTCACCAAGGAGCTGCCTTCCAGCGGGGATACATCGCATGTTATAGGTATCGGAACAGTAGGGATGTCACTGGGGGTCTGAGGTGCAAGGATGTGACTGAGGTCCCAGCAGAAGTGCAGTGAATCCACAGCCCTGTAACCCAGTAGCAGGAGGGAATGGAAGCTTTAGGGGACTGTGTGGAATGAAACTCTTCCCCACCTGTGAAGCGTATTTGGCGGATGGTTCACAAACTCACTATACTTGAATCGCCCCTGGAGCAAAAGGCATTTCATTCCCAGATGAAACTGCAAAAACTACACTTAAAACTACTTTCCATTACTGGCGGCCCACAAGTCCGAAAAAACTTACAGCTCTCATGTGAAAGTCTAAATACATCAAAGAAAGGTTCTGGCAGGTATCCATCAGTGTCTCTGGAGACAAGACATGCAAGGTGAATTGCCCAGTACTCTGCCACGTTTCACTAGCTGCTGAAACCTTCTTCCCTTTCTCTGCCACTTGATGACACCTCAATGAAACTATAAACAGCGAACCCAAAAATGTCCTCAATACCCTGTTAAGGCACTGAGAGACATGAAGTCCACAAGCAAACGTACTTTTAAAAGTTTTGTTCCCCAGAATGGGAAAGTGAATTCAGTCACATTCTAAAGACCTTACTGAGTTTATAAGCTGTTATAAAGAGCTTATTAAGAACTCCACCCACCACACAGGCCCTTACCGTAACCCAAGTGGGAATGAGATCACATTTGTTCAGCACAAATATGAGGTGCTTCCAGGGTTTCTCCTTCTTCATATAGGACTCGATGTTTTGTGAACGAGTTCCCATGGGATCTCTGGCATCCAACACTTGAATAATGACATCAGATGAATCTATGACCTTAGGGGAAAAGGAAAAATCAATGTACAAACCAAAGTGCAGAACATACGAAACCTGTTTAATACATCTGCATTGTTTTTAGAAGAACTTCACTGTATTAGAAGTCATAACAATTCTCTTGCTCTTCTGGGCACCAAACAGCTATATAGAAAGCCAACATAATTTGGATATAGTTGAAGATTAGAACAGTTTTTTTCCCAAGCATTGTCTTAAAGTTTTCACTCCACAAGTCAACATTTTAAACCAGCGATAGGCAACTCCCTCAAGGGCTATAGTCCTCAAATACAGCTTCAAATACAGATACTATTCACTTCTATGACAAATAACACCAACCTCAGGCTCTCAAAAACAGCAGTTAGATTAGATAAGTTAATCTTTCTGCCATACTGAAGACTGCTTTCACCTTAAACTTACAAAACATTCTCAACTAACTGAGAGCTTAGATGAAGAAACAGGGCTTCTTTTTACAGGAATGAAGAAACAGGGCTTCTTTCACCAGAGTAGAGAACACCTCCATAATGTCTTACTTCTGCTTCTGACACCTTTCAACAAGACTGCAGGAGCAGCCAGCACCTCACAAACATATGCACTAAATACCCTTCAGACATCCCTCACTGATATTCCTAAAAGAGCTATTAACTTGATGGTTTTGCATGAAGGCTAATCAATAGTACTTATTTGAAACACCACCAGCTTAATCCCATCACTCCATGTCTAAGATGCTCCACACAGCCAAAATGAAGTAAGGAGATATGGATCATTAGGTACATAAACTAAAAAACAAACAAATTGTATTACGCACCTTGTAGAGTTCACCCCAGATCCTTTTTGACTGCCCCTTTTTGAAGATTTCTTCTCGAGCCTCGTCCCTGATGAAAAAAAATCAAATGCATACTGTACTTATTCTTGGCTACTCACAACTGTTTTACAACTGAAGCCTGCAAACAGCAACGGTCAATTTAAAGAAGGGAGGTGATCCCGTCATGGGCAGTCAGAGGGCAGGGTCACCTAAACACAGCAGTGCAGTTTCAGGTGCTGCGGGTCCAGCTGATTAAACGTAGTGAGGACGAAAAAGGTTAGTGGGCAGAATATTAATCACACACTGATACATGAACTGTGAATTTACTGGTTTCCAATCCGAGACTTTGCAGGATCTCTCTAATATTTCTTTCACTCCACCACGTTTATGTCTTCAATGCTGATAACTGCTCTCAGGTTAAGATTTTGTCGCCCCTTTATGTAACAAGAAAGGTAAAAAAAAAATCAAACAAATAAGCCCAGATCTAGGGATACGATCAAATTATTTAAAGCAACAATAAAAAACAGAAGCATGAGAGTGCTCTACAGAAAAAAAAAACTAAAATCCCCCAGATTCAGTAGAAAAATCACTGAATGACAGGCATAGCTGGAAAAAAAAGATAAGAATCAACAAGACAGAGGCAGAAAAGAACATTTTTTTGCATAATTGAAGCTGAGGGTTCAAATCACCTTGAAACTAATGAACAGCAGGTGAACTGTAAAAGCCCAAGTCTTTATAAGATTTTAGGATTAATATTTGGAGACGAAAAATAAATCACAAACATGCTAAATAACTTCACACAGGTCTTCACAATGGAAGACATCAAGAACATGTACCACGGTCTAGCAGCAGCTAGAGAACGAATGTTTTGCAAAATAGAAGCTGAGGGGCCAGATCGCCTTGAAACGAATGGATTTCCAGGGCCTAATGGTACTTGCACCATTGTACTTAAGGAAATTAGATACTTTATTTGCAGACCCCTCCCATTTAATTTTTTAACACTTAGGCAATGCAACATCAAATCAAGTAAAGGGGGACAAAACAGAGCCCAAAAACTATAGACCAACCTGTTTTTCCTCTGTGGTCAAGACCTATGGAAACACTTTGTAAAAAATACTTGCAATACAATGGAATCTCAAGAGACATCCACTGTGAATTAAGAAAGAAGATCTGGGTTAACAAGCAACGAGGGCAGCTGACACCTCTAAAGCTTATGGCAAGATACTCTACATTTACATGACCATAAAACTATTGCTAAGGTGTCTCATTAGAGGTGGATTATGAAATTAAAAGTCCCAGGGACCCAAGGCAATTTGGACAGGTATATCAAGAACAAAACAAAAAGGAATGAACGTGTCATATTAAAGAGGAAAGCCTTAGACAGATGTATGAAGTAGTGGGTTGCACGGATCTGTTTTAGGCTGCTCTTCCTGATCTATAAAAACAATTTAGATTCTGATATGAGTTACTTTCCCAGATCATATAAAAATTGGGGGAAAAGCAAGAGGGGGATTTCATAGAGAAGACAAAATCATGAATCGGGCAGACACTTGGCAAATGAAATAACCCAGATAAGTGCAATTGTTCTCAGAAGACATTACAGGGAAGCAGTAAAAAGGCAAAATGTATGTTTAAATCAAAGGGAGTTTTGCTCAAGGTTTAAAGTTTAGCATACTGCTTTTGATTTTGGTAGCCATACCAGAAAAAATTAGATTATAGTCTTAAAAAGAGCAACCATAATGATTCCTGGCCGAAGGGTATTCACATTTGCAGACAGGTTAAAGGAATTAAATCTCCTCAGTCCACAACAAAGGAGTCTGAAAGAACATTTTATCCAAGTGTATAAAATCCTAAGGGGCACGGATAGGGTTTACTGACTTTTTCAGACTCAGCAGTGAATTTGAATTTGAAATAATTGAGCAAATATACTAACACGGTTATTGTCACATATAAAGGCCTGATTCCTTTAAGTACAGCTTGCTGGGCTGCAAGAGTCCTCAGGGACTTTGAAGAGGGGTGATTGTTGAGGAGCATTTCGCAGGAACTTCAATGACCAAAACAACTCGCCATGCTGATGCTTCACCAACAACTGGGTCTAAGATCATGTCGGCATGAAATTTAGGGAAAGACCTCATCAGGGGAAAGTGCAACGGTGGGAGGAAGTCCATCCTCTGGGATTGCGATATCTGTGCAATCATTTGACATGTAAAGAAAAACGGTGAGCAACTGCATATCAGCTGACTGCAGATATCAACCAGGAGTGGGAGAGGCCAATTTCCTCAAAAATGTCCACCATGAATTCCACAGAGTGGATACCATAGCTGGGTTACGGTGCACAAACTGTTCCATGCATAGCAATGCACATGGAAAAAATTGTGATATGGGCATTTTACACCATGTGTTTGACAAATGGATGAAGGCAAACCTAAACCTCTAAATAGCCGATTCCAAAAGAAAAGTGTTCTGGTGATCGCGTAATGTTGTGGGGCACATTCACCTGGCATGGTTTGGGAAAATCACAGAAAAAAAGGTCAAAACATGTTTGAAATCAAAACTGTCCATGGCTAAATGTTTAATCTGCTTATGAAGTTGGTTGACTTTAACTGCGCTTAACATGGCTGGATTGGTCAGTATTGGGCTGGGAGACCAGTAAGTGGTGAGTGGAGCAGTGGGTGGCTCTTGACTTACTGCATCTCAATTTTCAAACCAGTTTTGCAGGAGGGGATACTGTACTATAGAAGGTGTTATCATTACTTACTTCCCATATTGGAAGTCTCTCGACTGAGAGGGTTTTGTCAACAAATACAACTTACTCATTAACTGTACATGCAGATCGCGTTGAAACATTTCTGTGGTGAAATGTCTGCTGCACAACCTGGACGTATTTGCTTGCACATTGCATTACATTAGTCATTACAGAGACTAGTGAGCAGGAAGGGCTGCTTCACAACGCAATTTGTGCAAACTCCTACTATTCCCCATGGCAACATGGCAACCATACAATACTTTCATCAAGTTTAGGATATTGTGCTTAATTTGGAAACTGTAATTTTTTTTTGATACCACCAATTAAATTATTTTGTTACTGAGATTGAGTAACTGGTCTGAGAAATTGCGACTGCAGATCCTCTTTAAGGAAGTAATTTTTCCATCTCCACCTTATTTTCTATGTAGTGTATGTTACACTTCAGTGGTGGTTGATCTTTAAGGATGGAAAAGTACACAAATGCAAGCAATTACTAAACATCACAATATTTTAGCAAAAAGCAATTAAATTTAGTACACAGAAAAATGAGATCTTGGGGAAAACATCAGACACAAATGGTGATCTTATTTATCCAATATGGAGTGTTCTGGTACACATTGTCATTGTCCTTGAACACATGACCTTCCTGGCTTCACTGGTAAGTGGATTCAATTTAAATGCACCACACAATGCAGTTTTCACAGTTGTATGACCAGAGCTGGTAAGTCAACAATCACAATGTACTCTGAAATTCTTTTACACAGTTTGATTTGTGCTTTGACTTGCACTGCTATTCAAAATACAAAACCACAATTCTTACAAAGAAAACTTTAACTCGACCTCAACGGACCACAGTTCACAAAGGCTACATCGATCGAAAGGCTGCACTCTAACCTGACTCCAGAGGTCTCCATGACGAGATCCCTGTCCTTCTCCTTATCGTAGCTCTCGGCTGAGGCCTCTGCCTTCTCCACCAGGTCCTTCATATCCACCACAGACAGGCTGGGCCTCTTCCTCTGGGCTTTAGGGCCAAACGTTGTCTCGTATGTCTCTGTGTCCAGAATGTGCACTTTTGAATTCTGTGGGTTTCAAGACAAAAACCATAATCTCAATTCTACAGAACACTACCATTTATTCAGCACAAGTCTTCTCTTTCATCAAGGACTGATTTTATCTTTATAGAACAAAACAACTTATTAAGGTTTATTGAGGATTTCCTTCAGGTAGATGCTGTTCAGAATCCGAATATGCGTCAACTTGCAATGGAGGTACTGTATCTACTGGAAAAGCAACAGTAAACCACAATTTAACTTGCCAGTTTAATCTAATATCTCGATTTATACAAAAACCGATTTATCAAATAAAAAATGTTTCAGAAATCAACCTATAAACAAGCACTGCAACTCACACAATAAACATTTTATGGCAGTTGTATAAATGGTTGGTAAACCAATCCAATAAAAAATAATTCTTATATGCAGAGAAAATATGAACATAATATATAAAATGCCCTTCAACTCTGTTCAAAAATGGATAATATGTTCTGAAAATTATGTTTTAAATAATATTTTACATGTTAAGACTTGGAACAGTCTGTTCTAGAAACCGAAAAGCTGGAAAATAAAGAAAGGACAGTTCCTATAATATCAGGTCATCAAATGTAACCTTATTGTGGTATAAAACTGCCTTAAATGTTAATTACAGCATTTCTAAATTTGAAAAAGCTGGTTAAAATGACCTTATATCTACAAATCAGACACACATTACAGCATGTGTAAAAATCAAGCAACTTGCAGATCTTGTCAAATGCAATAACACTTTCCATTTTGGAGTCACAGGTGCATCAGCCAAGGTCTGGGAACAGTTTTGCTTTCATGACCAAAAACTGGACTTGTTTTCAGCAAAATATGCTTTTCCCCAAATCACATTTTCCCCTAATTTAGTTATATTGTTTTATTAAATGCACATGAAACACATTCCAGAGGAAAGACAAAATAGTAGGAACTGAATCCAAATGTTCAGCACCCTGTAAGATGTGCTGGACCAGTGAGGGCATTACTGAGCCCATGTGAAAATAAAGCCCTCAATGCCATTACCAGTCAGTAATGGTAACTAATGGGTGAAAACTTATTTTCACTCTGACTTTCATTTTTTTAAACCACAGTAAAGGCTTTTGCAATTTCTAAGTGAATGCATTTGGATTGCATTTGTGGTCCAAAGCTGTTTATTTGGCATTTGCAAAACTGTAAACAGAAAAAAAGCACTAAAACCTCAGGAGCTCACAGCTGCACCACAGCAGTGAATCTCAGGAGCTCCTACACACGTGAACGAGTCACAATGGGAGGGCTGCACGTGACAGCAGTGATCTCTGCACCTCAGGCAATCCGAGGGTCTACCTTACTTGAAATTTCATCTGCACTGTCCTGAGTGTGGGGCTCGTCTCTATGCACGTATCAAGTGCATCCATGGAGGTTAAATTAATACATGACCACAGTGGTCTGAGGCTTACCATATTAGGTAGTGCATAGGTGCATTATTGGAAGCAACAATGGGGATACAGCTTTCAGCAATCACACACCTGCACCTCTCTCTGCCACGCAAACCAATCATCTGAGGAGGTACCGTCAGAAAAGGACGCAGTTCCAACTTAAAATTCCTGTTGTCAAGAACGCTTAACTGGAAACATGACTTGTGTATTCTTGCCTCATCAATAAGCCGTAGAAATTCCCATAATGTCATCTCCTGTGAATGTATTAAATATTCTCTAAATATGTCTCTCATCAATTTTCAGGTGTAGGAGAGCATCCAAGTTAGGACATGTGGCACCATTCTTCCACGCCTGGTTTCTGAAGGTGAGCATTCCAGAATATCCCATAAATGCCCGATTGGATTCAGGTCAAGTGACTGAGACCGCCGTGACATATGGATAACGTTAACCTGACTGCCGAGTTCTCAGTGGATGTTTTGGATGAAACTAGCTGCTCGTGCCCCAGGTTGGAATTTTCAGTTAATTGAGCTGCAGCTGTTTTGCCTTGCATGTCATATTAAAGTATGGATATTGCCATCCTGTAGGATGCACTTCCATTCACTGTCGCCCCTTGTTGTTGAGGTCTTTCACTCAGAGTTGCGTGCTGACATCACCTTAGACACTGACGCTTATGAAATGTCAGCAAGTTGAGCTGTTTTGGTAACTTAAGTTCCTGCCTTTTTTCTAGTCTTGCAGCCATGCAAGCCATAATTATAGGCAACCAGGCCTGCCCAGGCCTTTATATGTGTCTGTAAGCATGCTGGGATGTTGTTTAATTAACAATGAGCCACACCAGTGTGGAAACCCTTGCATTCAATATACTTGGAAACACCTTTGTAAATAGGGAACGCCATTTTTTTGGTCCGCTTCTTGAATCTGGTAAGTTTATATCACATATACAAGTAAAGTACACTAAAACAGTAAAGTTGTCCCACTTTACAGTGCAGAAAGTGGTTCCCAAAAACCTGGGCACCTTGTGCAGCTTGTGGTATCATCAAGCTGTATCGCTTCTCCAGTCCACCCCAATTCTCCTGTGATCAGCTGTAACACATTTCTCATGGACGAGAAATGGATCTGACAGGCAGGCCTGCTGGATGAATGCACCATGTAGAGTGCATCTTCCCTGCATGCTATGGGAAGTAAAAGTAAGTTAATTAAATATGATTCTAACACATGAGGTGTAAAACAAAAAAATAATCGTTAATAAATAAATTACCTTGAAAAAACGGCTACTAACCACAGAAAAATATGCCAATCCACACAGCAACATATTTTATGTTAAGAAACATTAAACATTTCTTTAGGGAAAACACTTGATGAGAAGTTAATTTTTCAGGCCATACAAACACCCACCCCAACTTTCTTAGGGGAGGGCAGACATCTGGCTGCCACCACATTTGAGAGACAAACATCAGATCAAGTAGATATGACAAAGAAAAACAATACTGTTAACTTTAAGAACACTTCTAGAGGAGTTTTAGCAAACGAACATTATTTTCTGTACTTCAATTCTTCCATACCTTGAGATGTAGAAGACAGCTGGCACTGTTATAAATATATATAAAAAGGTCTTTATAAAATACAAATGATAGCAAATGACTCAATAACATAATTGCTGCAGTCTGGTACTAGAAATGAATATCATGTGTGGGTATTGAGTCTGAATACATTTGTATACAAAGGCTAAGCTTTTCTTCTAATGCATTTTTCAGTTATCTGTCACAGAAAGATATTAGATACAAATGCACAAAAATACTGGCACCCCTAATCTGAAGCATTTTATTCTCCAATAAAGTTTAAAAAATGTTGCCTGTTAAACTACAATACCTATTACTCAGTGACAGATCCCGTTTCCAGAACGTACAGTGTAACCCAGCCAGCAGAAGTTAGGATGTACCCATCAATCAACTAAACTAATATACATAGTGCCAGTGTTTGTGTCTGCAACTGTATATGGAGCTAGACATCTTGCATCGCTTCAAACAGATTGTCTTGTCCCAGATCACCTTATTTTTCCAAGCTTAAAAACAAGGTAAGAATGATTTAGATCCCCGAAAAGTACACACACTTCATATTTCAAATCGACACTACAGATCTAAAAATGTAGATGAAATGCTGCCGTAGAGGAGGGCGAGACATCTCCGAGCTTGAAGACATATTTAAAACATAAAATAGGCATTGATAAAGCTAGTCTGGAGGCCTTTAGCTCTTTCTGGTAAAGATTAAAATCCTGATGAGGCACATGAAAAAAAAAGAAAAGAGAAAAAGGGGTCATTCAGTCCAAAGAGAAGCCTTGCAATGCACTGCACACATATGGAACAGTTTAAAACAACAAGACCAAAGTGCCACAGCAAATCAACAGGTTCAAGAGAACAGAAGTGTTTTGCACTGATGCAAACCAACCTTGAAGAAGCAGTGTATGAATGTAAACTGTATCTGTCAACAGCTACGGCTGAAAGCAAACCCAGACAAATTACCCCTGACCCACTTCTGTTACAGCTTCTCTCCAATTGCAGTTCAAAATAAAGGAAACGGGGGGCGGGGGGTGGCCAGCGATGTGTGTTTACTACAGGACTTACGTGGGATTTGACTCGGTCATGCAGGAGAGACATGGGAAGCTTGCTCTTCTTCATGACCACCCTGTAGGGGTCCTTCTGCACCTGCTCCATTTCCTCCTGGAACGTCTGCAGCGAGGACTGCTTGATAACCCTGGTGTTCGCTGCACACCGCAGGGAACAGACACAAGAGATTCAGTTTGGAGTTTACACTGAATCAGGTTCATAACAGGAGGTTTGAAAAACCAAAAAAATCATGGCATCCATTCACATTTATTTCGTTTTCAGCTGCATCACTAAATTGAAGAACCTTTTGCAAGTACATGCACAGAGGATTCTCAGTTTCCTTGCAGCACTACCAATACCCATAAGGCTCAAACGGTTCCAGTGCACCATGTGAGTTACCCAAGTCCAAGCTCAGCTGCTGTTGCTGGCCCCTGGAGAATCTACTGCACAGAATCAACCTTTCATTAAGCCAAGTCTAGAAAATCCAATTAATCTATTGCTCTAACCCAGCTCTGCTATTACTGAGCTTAACAGTACTGTGAAGAAAAAACATTAACTTGGTAAAGAGACCATATTAAGATAAATATATGCCTCTTACAGTAAGTGCCTGACACCCGGAACAACGTTTCTAGCTTTCTGCACTGTGAACACTGATTTATACACTGGCCTTAACAAATGATACGTGTATAACCAATTTCCTTACTGTGAAAAACACTACACACATTTTTTTGTTTGATTTTTTTTTCCCCATTCAGTTTTATGACTGAAAAGGTCTTCTCCTGCAGCTTTACTTGACTGGCCAGCAATAACTGAATCGTGAATTTTTTTCTTTTGTTATGCATTTCAGTGCAAATATGATCTAAATCCAGTTATGGGACTGAAATACAACACAGAACTATCATGCTGTATTTCTATAACATCTGGATTGTTCACTCACCAAACCACTTTATGTTCGGCTCCACTCTGGCTACTGTCCCAGAAGCCACTGAAGACTGGTACTGCAGAGGTTTGATGACTTTGCCCCGGTTGTTACTACACAAGAAACACAAACACAAGGAAGACTGTTTTGACAAACTGTCGTCTTTTTACGTAAATGACATTAAAGACAATCCTAATACAAAGCAATCTGATGGGCTTAATTATTTGGCAACACTGCCATAAAATGATTTGGTGCAAATGTACACAAGACAAGAGAAAAAGCTTTAAATTTCCAGCCTCTGCTGTAGGACATTTACAAGAGCTTGCACTTTAAAACCTCCTGGTATGGGTGGCAGTGAATGTGGCGGTTAGCGTCTAGGACTGTTCAGTTTTTCTCCTGTTAAGGCAACACTGACAATGCCGTTTCATGCAAATTTACAAGTGTTTAGCATCATTTATCTTCCTGATGCGTCTTGAAAACGATCACTCACATGTGTAGGAGTACAGGAGGGGTGAGGAGATTTAAACAGATGGGCCCCAGAAACACAGAGGAGCATAATTCCCAGGCTAGCAGCCTACAAAATCACTCTTCCACTTTGAGAGCAATATCACAGATCTGTTAACGAGCAGCTATGTGTCCAGTATTTATAATATTAATAGCAGGTTTATGATCTTAATTGTACTCAAACTAGGGAAAGGCATTAAAAGGAGGCCGTTTACCCATACGCAGGGACTCTTAGAAAAGAACTTGAGAGTGTTTCAAATTTTGTTTAAGTTATTGAATTATTAGACAAATCCTGCACAAAAAAACAAATATAAATAACAAAATCAGCAAGAGATAAAACCTGCAAACATGGATATAAAACTATACTTAAACCAAATACTTTAAAAACTTTCATTGGAAAGATGTATCTTAGAAAGCCATGAGTGGGAACTTGAACTCCTGCGTGTTCATTTAGCATGTGAACAATAAATCCTTGTGATTTATAGCATCCTTGCAATTCAAGTATTACCTCCTTGAAGTTTTTATTTGGTCAGATTACAATCCAGTTGTATCCAGAGTTTGAAATACTAAGAAAACATTAAAGTTCTTGCAACAAGCGATGATAAATTATTATTTAATGATAGGATGGGTTACAGCTGCAAGAGACAGACACCAGTAGGCCAGGATTTGCAGACAAATTCAATAATACTGAAACTGGAACAGAAGGGGTGAGAATCCAAAGAAAAACTGCAAAGGAGAGAATTGAGAACCCAATGGAAACACAAAACAAAGGACCAGCTAAAGACGTGCCCGTATCTACACTGCCTTGCAATTTTTTTCATCTCCAACCAACTGTGTTTTGATAAAAATACAAATAAAGTATACACCATTGTTAAATGAACTTTTATTCATAACTGCAATGTTCACACTTGAACACTATTATAGATGAAGGACACCGAACATCAGCAAAATATATACACTGAAATCTACTGATCGTATAAGCGTACAACCTATTATGTCAGTACTTTGTGAAAGCACCTTGCCAACATTAAGTGTTAAGTCTTTTTGGATGTTCTGCATTTTAGATTCGTAGCTCACCCAAGCAGGTTTTCCTCTAGGCTTTGCCTATACTTTGCACCATCCATTCACCTCCCAAACCTGACAATCTTCTCTGTTCCTGGAGATATCTCACATTCCTGTAACGTGATGCCACCACCACCATGCTTGACAGCTGGAATGGTGATAAGTGGGTGATGTGATGGGCTTGCACCAGTAATGCTTTGCATTCAGACCAAAAAATCCAATTTTCCACCTCATATGATGACCAAAAAAATGTTGGCTTATTTCTACTATCATCTACATGTTTTGTATGTCTGTGCTTTATGCAGGGACAAGAAAGTCAGTGTTCATACAGCAACAATATCAATAACTAACTTCTCAGACACAGAAGTCTGGAAATCTTTTAAAGTCATTGATGGGTTCACAGTGGCACCCCTAACCAGTATCCCTTGCCCAGTTGCTCAGCATGGAAGGACGACCTATCTCTACCGCATTGTCCTTTTTCTTTTCTTCCAATCTGAATTCGCAGATATAGGGAGAGAATACTTATGCAAATCTGAGTCATCAGAATTTCTATCCAACTTTATCATGAATAATCATCATTTATAATGAACTATTATCACATATATTATGATTCAGCTTTATCAGTCTCGAGTTTGTTATGCAGAATCTAAAGACAAAGTCCCGTGTATTCTAAATACACTACTTTGAAAGGAACATGACTAAGTTTAGACAGCAACACAATGTTGAAACTTTGCAGGTGGAGAATATTATTGACGGCACAGTAAATGCTATGAAAAGCTAGAGATGAGCTGTTGCATTGGTACTGCGAGTGCGATTATGATGTGACTAGAATCACAGAAAAAGAGCTAACAGAGTGGAATTGAATATAACATTAGTGGATACACAGAGTTCTGGAGAGGCAGAAAAGACAAAAGGTAGAATGGGTGTAGCAAATGTAGAGAATTTGATTATTTAATCAAAGAATCCATGTAGGTCAAACATATTCAATAATAATCTTTCAAAAACACACACAGTTAGGATGCATGTATACTACAAACCATAATCAGATATCTCTTATACCTAGTCTTATTGTTGTAATGAAACCAGGAAAGCATAAAACATGGATATCATGGAAGGTTTTAATTTTCCTCACAAAAACTGGGGAAAATCACCAGAGATGCCAACAGCTGTAACCAAAATTACAGTCAAAGCTAAACAGCTGCTATCTTCCGCAGTTTTTGAAAGCACCTTTAAGAGGGAACGTCGACAGTGGTCTAGTGTTTTCAGACACTCAAGACAAGAGGGAGGAACACAGAGGTGCACGACCCATTAGAGACCTGTGATCAGATTTGAGTGACATTAAGGTCAGCATGACATGGAGACTGACCTGCATTAGAGATAATATACATCTGAGGTTACAGAAATGAAAAACAAAACAACTTCATGGACAGCAAAGCAAGTTAACGGATAGGAAACAGAGTGTAGATATTGACAAATACGATCACTATACTGTCACAGGGATCACAGAAGACCACACTTTTCCTAATATATAACAATGACTTAGATTCTGGTATAGCTAGTAAACTACATGGAAGTGCATTTAAAACCAAGAACAGGATGCACATCTTTGTGTAAAGGGTTGTGGGAGTATGGAGCAAGTAATCAGGCCATGCTATTAAAGTCAATCCCCTGGTTTCTTTCAAAAGATGTCTGGATCCTTGGGTCAAGATGCTTCCCAAACAGGCTATTTATATAACTATAAAAATGATGTTCTTAACTATTAAAGCTTGTGGATGATATCAAAGCAACAGAGATTAACAGGGTGTCTAGAAGCCGTGCATGAAAAATAAACCTCAGACAAAGACAAATACAAGATTGTGCAAACAGCAGGATGTGGAGGATTACATGCGAATAGAAAGAAAAACTGTATATTTATAAGATGGAAACACTAACCTTCAAGAAATGAGTGTAGGAAAAAGAGGTGTTTATGCTGACAATGTGCCTCTTATAAATAATGGGACAAACCAATAAAATGAAAAAAGGTAAGCTAGAATTTCAGGTTTTTAATCATAAAGAGTTGTTCTATTAAGATTCTACAACGAACTAGCAAGACACTGATTTTGGTCACCTTGTTCCAAAAAAAAAAATGCTGCTGTAGAATCAACTCAGAGATAAGCAACCAGGTATGCTCCTAATCATTCAGGCTTGACAAACTAAAATCATTGCACTTTTTCTGTTGTGCAAGGATCTCATTCGAGTATTCAAAATTCTCAAGGGCGCTGACAGGCCACCTAGCAGACTTCTGCAGAATCAACAAAGAAACACAAACCAAGCGGAATCGGCAGGGACGTGCGTTTATCAATTAACACGATAACCGGGCATGTAGTAGAAACCAGGGTGTCAGCATCCTTCAATATACAGCTAAGACCATATCTTTGGATCAGCTCACTATGATCAACCACAGGGCCTTGTCTCGTTTGTAACTCTTCTTCCTTTTGGTTGATTACATTTCAATTCAATTCAAGGTGCTTTATTAGCATGACCAATGAATAGGTCAGTGGTACCAAAGCAATATAAATACAATTAACATAAAATCAACAGGCATTTACCACATCATAATACATTTACATACAAACATATGGAGCATTACTGAGCTCACTGTTCCTCAGGCTGTGACAGGAGGTCACATACCCAGTTCAACTGAGTTCCTCCCCCCTCCCCTTCTCCCAGTAGGATTGGGAGTTCTTGTGATTCTGGCAGGTGGGGGAATAATGAGATTAGATTTGTACATTTGGAGAAGGATGTTTGTCTAATCCCAGAGTATCTGTCACAGTGCAGTAGGAAGTGTATTTTTGTCTCTATTTCTCCCCGTTGGCAGCAAGAGCACAGCCAGATTACATACTCACCGCCGTTCCTTCTGCCTGTACATATTCAGACGTTTGATGGTGGCCCGGTCCCTCATATTGTTTCCACCAGCACCCTTGGGTCGATCTTTTTATAAAAAGGAGAAACAAGACAAAATTACTTTCTTCATAATTCTCTAATCGATCTTCAAATTAATAAATTAGCAAAAAAATCACTGAGAATACCCAAACTTTATCTTAGTCCATATTTCAGGTATTTCCATATTGAGAACTGAGAACAGTTTTCCTCACAGCCATCACACTAAAAAAAAAACTATTGACACGGAAACATGAAATTATGAATGGATGTAAGTTTTTCCTCTTTCACTTGTTACGTTTTTGTATCCATCTAAAAGGTACCAAGAGAACAAATAACTAATTTATTAACTAGCGTTTTAACATCATGCAACTAGATGTTTACTGAAATATTATTTCAATCTTGAAATGCGTGTCTATGTTCTTGCACTTAATACAATGACACCCGAAACCTATTAAATATTGAGCCACCAGGAATCCTATCACTTCGCCCGAGTTATTTTAGCAACTTGTAATATTCGTATAACTTTGCTGTCAAAAACTAGGATAAGTCAAAAGTATGTCTTAGAAGTGTCATGTTAATTGGTTAAAGTGCGCACCATTTATAAAGTAAAAACAAACACATGAAAAAAGTCTATCGCACTTGTTTTCAATCCAACTGAATAAAACGTCGAGTACGATATACAAGCAACAGGTTAACCAGGTATCACCATACACAACTGTGATCTACAATTATTAGGCCCCATTTTGTGTTTCTAGCTTCTAAAGCCTCTAGAAGATTAGATTAATTACGTAAGCTATACACAATGCTGTGGTTTTATTTGCTTATTTAAAAGAAGGTGTTTGGATTTTATTCTTCGTCAACAAAATCAGAAATCAACACAGCGGATATAGGTTAACTCTTACCTGGATTACTGCTAGATGCAGAGGGGTTGATGGTGCTTCTGCCCTTGTACCGTGGCTTCACCATGGTTCCGATTAGTTGTAGAAAAGCTCTACCGTTTTCAACAACGAAAAAAAGGTTTTATTTTTTAAAAGGTTTAAGCTTTCACTCCCGTGCCCTTCCACGTGTGAAGAGCTGCGATAGTCGAGCAGGAAAAGCGTCATCAAACAGCGACCAGTCCATGCATCTTAAGGTGGAGCGGATGTGTCAATGCAGGGTTGTAATGTTTTTTAGGTAATGAGGGTTACATCTATATCTATAAATGTATAAAATGTATCATTAATTCGAGATGCTAATGCGTAGCAGACTTTCTCGTGTATTGTACGCCATATTATCAGTAGTTTATTTTACGGAGCACATCCTTATGTTTATACATTACTTTAAAAAAATAGAAATATAATATAGGTATTTTAAACTGCACAGAAAGTAATGTTCTTATGTTACAAATTAAAGACAGGCCTAATAGCAGTGCTTGATAAGTGTTTAATTTTTTATTTCAGTTTTCACAGTGATCTACCCTCTGTCTGCAAAAAGGCATAAATAACTATTTGCCCTTTTTTTACCTTTGCTGAGCACAATCTGCTTGGATTAAAGAGCAGTGCTTAGTCCCTATCGTTTTATCAGTTTCAGATCCTTTAACATATTCTTGTCTATGGCTCTGGGAAAATGGGCTAGTCATTTAGATGTTTATTATCCCTTAAAATGCTTCCTTTTTATCATTTGTGTGGCATTTTATTGGTGATAAAGTGTATATTAAACAGTGTTTTGTAAAAATGATGACTGGGTTGAACATAGAAAGTAACTGAGCATAATTAAATAAGTTAATGATTGTTACCTCTTTTCAACAGCAGAAATAATAGACCATATGCATATTTGTTTATATGAAGATATTCAATTGTAGGTTGTCGGGTAATGGTTATGACATATACATTTTGTCCCCAGTAATCAAAATTGACTGATAAGATCGTGATGTGAATTAATAAACAGTAGATTAGAATATCCTGGACTGAGAAACTCAACCTGGTCTGTTTCTGATTTGGCCAGAAGAGGGAACCACTGTATAGCAGCACAACCAGTTGTTTAGAACTGAATAAAAAACTGACCTGTAAGTTCAAATAGTTCTTCCTGTACAGCAATGCAGTCTGAGGGCCATGAAGTATTGAGCCAAGATGGCACAAGCCTACTCAGCATTCACCTCCATTAAGGTACTTTCCCCATTCCTGTCAATTTGACTTCTTCTTTAAGAACATTTTATTAGTCCACTCATGCAGTGTTCAAGAGTGACAAAATTGTATAACCCGTTAATACATAAATAAAGCAAAGATGTCACAAGGAGACATGTTGCAAAAATAAAGCATTATTTAATCTGACTGGGGGTTGTGCCCATTTTAATTAAAATTGCCAGAGCTCTTGCACAAGCTGGGATTGCATGATGCCTCTGTTTGTACAGCTAATGGGTGCACTGGCAACATGCATAGAAACTATTTGGAATGCGTATCTAATGTAATCAGGGGTAACAGAAAGCCAATGAAAAACAGGAAGAGTTGGATTTAAAAAATAAGCTTTATCCCTTTTGTATGAGTTTGAGAAGGAATTACAAAGATTTTGTGTTACAGATTTTCACAAAAGACAACCCTTTGCATTCAAATGGAACCTATCTCTCGGTGTAATATGTCTAACAGAGAGTGCAGCAGAGTTCAAGTGGATTTTATGTTAACATGCTAATTTTCATGTAAAAAGTGAGTCCAAAGACCTAATTCTTAAAGCCTGACAATCTGGAGTAGAAAGCCTTGGAGCTACTTGGCAGTCACAATGAGTGAGTGAGAGAAACCCTTCTTAATAACAACAGAAAGGTTGGCTAGAAGTTCTAGATAAAGGATCCATCAGCTATGGAACTCGATGGCGAACAAAAGACACTCCGGTAGTAATCAAGCAGTCTGAGAAATAGTTGGAAAGGATCTTTTGTTCCCCAATACTGCAAAGCCAGTTGGCTACAGAAAAAGGACAAAAGATGTTGCTGATTAAGTACAAAATGCCCTAACTGGCTGCTCTGTGGTACAGTAGGTATGCATGTTAGCCTGTTTTTATTCCATGCAGCTAAGCTCACGCACCTCAGACCACCCCTTAAAATATACATCCAAATTGACAGAGCAATACAGTAGATTCATTCTGGAGCACAAGCTGGTTTTAAAGGCTGAAAGACACTTGCCGTGAAGCTAGGCCAGAATTTGACATGCGGAGCACCAAGACCTTATACTGTGGACTTCCCCTTTATGGGAATGCCTGTTGCTCCTGCAGGTTTACATTGCATATGAAATCAAAAGAAAAATCCAACAAAAATACTGCAGCATGTCAACGCAGGTAAAGCCAGCCTGAAAGGTCCATTTTCAGTCTGCTTACTCTGCGGAAGGTTGCAATAAGCAAATTCCCGATGGTCGATATTTCTGACGATTTTAATATGCTGCACTTTCAGGGATATTAAGTGTAGGACCGTTCTGGACAAAACAGGAGGTATTCCTTTGCATAGAGTGCCGTGGGAGTCTGAAGTCATGGGAATACTTGTGAAGAAGCTGCTCTTTGGGTTCCATTAAGAAAGGAATTGATGTTAATCTTAGATCTTAGAATATAAAGTTAATGGAAGCAATTTTATTTTTTGGGTGGACAGGCAGGACAGAAGAAATGGTGGTGTGGGACTATATCAAAAATGAATTGCAAAGTTCAGAACTGAAGCTAGAGGGCACACGCAGTTTAACATTTATGTGAATAAATGCTTCTAAGGACTTAATAATAGCTGTATGTGCCCTTTAATGCAGACTTGGGAACTAGTAGGGCTCTATGTATTGCAATCAGGAAGGTCGGGAGCAATAGTGATTTTATATTACTGGGAGATTTTTATACATAAATTGAAATATTGTGATGGGGAATACAACTGAAATAGATCTTTTTTAAAATGGTTACAGATTTCTTCTTAATCCAGTTTGTAAAAGCACCTACTTTGAAAGATCGTGACCCAGTCTTTTAAAACAAACTGGATATGATTAAGACGATTTAAAATGTGAGTAGTAAATTGGGGTTCATAATTTTAAAAAAGAATACTATAAAGAAAAGTGGGAGAGCTAGTAGGCGGTGAACTGGGAATAGACTCAGACAGGTAGATACACACCTGACAGATGAAGAATGGTTATACTCGATCATGATAAAGACGTCATGAAGTAAGCCTTAAAAAATGAGAAGTCTAGAAAAATATTGCCTTAAAGGTGGAATGGAGATTTTAAGACCATACCATGTAAATGGACTTAAGATTCTAAGATAGAAAAAATAATATTTTGAGCTCTGGGAGCAGCTGAAGAAAGATATAAGAATTGTAAAGGGGGGGTACAGAAAATGATATTGCACTGCAGGTTAAAAAAAATCAAAGGTTTTCCAGCACTACAACAGTAAAGCTCTGGGTTTTATGAATGAATGGGATTAATAATAGAAGACAATAAAGATATAGCAACCACAATGAATGAATATTCCCCATAGGTTTTTACAATAGAAGTCATACCATGCCACATGTTACAGAATCATCAGCTTTGCGTAATATTAACATAACTGCTACTGCGGTTCTATAGAAGCTATGGAACCTAAAAGCCAATAAATTGCTGGAGCTTGGTGTTGTTGTCTCAGTTGTACTCAAGGAAGTGAGGGATATTATTCATATACCCACAGATATGATATTTCAACTCTGTGGGAGCTAATGTCTCCCCACAGGCTGGAGAAAGACAGATGTAACATCAGTTCATAAAAACGGTGACAGAACTGAACCACCAAATTCCTGACTAATGAGTCCTACTTCTGTTTTATGTAAATTAAAATTTAAATTATACTTAGAGCTGAAGAATATTTAGAAATAACAACATTTTAATATGTAGCCATCATGGACTAGGGAAAGGAAAAGTTATTTTAAAATTGTTAGAATTCTTCAAAGCAGCAACAAGTATAGAAGATAAAACTAATCCAAACGACATGCTATATTTAGAGAAGAAAAAAAAGCCTGTGATAAGATTCCTCATAAAAGGTTGGATCTCAAGTTAAAAGTAATAGAATTGGAACTGGAGTGAAAGTTCTAAATGTTCTGCCTGCCCTCTTCATCTTCATCTTAGATCACTCCTACCAGGTCAGAGAACCAAGTAGATTTCAAGTTTTTTCTTTTAACCTAATGTTCAGTAACTGAATGTCAGCCTACAGAGCTCGTTTTTGTAGTTAGGCAAGCTTTTTTCTATGGTTGTGACTTCCAAACCTTGTTTGACATTTTTGTATAAGTATCTTCAGACAAGCCAGAAAGTCGGATGGCTTTTCATTAGGCACCTGCATAATCTCTAGTCCTGGGGCTCAGATATATATGCTCTAGCATACTGAACTACTGTACTTCTTTGGAGACACACCTGGGTTTACCATTGGAAGGGACCTGTGAGGAGTAAGGCGTCAAAGTTATGGGCTCTTAGACGCTCTGTGAGTCTTTTTCTCTCTCTCTAACCCTTCTGAAACATGTGATCTACCTAGTCCATTCAGGTCAAATGACCATTATCACACTGATAATTGCCGTAAGACAATCTCCTGGAATGGCCATGTAGGTTACAGAGCAGCAGTTCACTTCCATTGCCTTGCAAAGCAAACAGCAGTACAGCAGTCCTGCTAAAAAGCATGCCGTTTTACAGTTACATTTGTGTTATTGTTGATCTCTAAGCAGTGGTTTAGCTTGACATTGTCAACACCTCTAAAGATTTTGAATACTTCAGACAAATCTCTTTGCCATCTCTTTCATTCAAGCCCAAGAAATTCAGATATTTATAAACATGGATATGTTTCTCGTGTCTCATTACCTTCTTATAATGAAAATCAGCATGTTGTTTGTCTTCTCAACTCGGTAAGGGACATACTGTATCAATCACTCCTTCAGTGGTTGTTGGCTTGCGGACAATGAGACAGGAAACCGTCACCTTCTCTGGTCAGAACTTGCAGAAAACTGGCGGAGATGATGCAACGTACAGTTGAAATCGCATTTCCCATTTCCCTCATCACAACCTCGGCTGAAGGCAGGTATACATGAGGAATGGGAAGTGATTGGGCTGCAAGTATTTCGAAGCTGTGTGAAACACTCCACTCAAGTCGTTTACAGAGGCCC